ACGAGTGTAATGCAGCCGATCGCGTTTTAAGTAGATGTACGGAACGCACGTGCTCCCCTAGTGCATCGGTTGATCGTTTGCAGTTCATGCGACCCGTAAATCGAACGGTGTTCTTGTCACTTATGTTCGCATGGAATCGCAGTTTACCAAGCAGAGTGACTCAGACTATTTGATCAAATGTTTCGTAACAAATACAGTCAGAACAGGCATAGTTTCGCAACTTCCATAAACTCTATCTCGGGATTAGAGGGTTAAGAAACATTGGATTATCATGCAGATATTTGTTAATGAAATGAAAACTAGGAAGTCGCTTTCGTGATTCAATATATATTGTAAATTCTTTGCCATTTTCTTGCGCCAACCTGTACAGAAAATCTGTACAGACTCGACAGTGAGGTCGTAAGCGTTCCATACTCTTTATTTAACTCAGTATTTCTTCACCCACTATTCGCGAACAGCTGGGGGTCTGTGAATGTGCTGGTAAGGGACCACTAGTAGTCGGAAGAGAAAAAAGAAACATATTGCATAGAGAAATTGAAAAACTTCTCGTATATTATTCTTATTAAAAACACCTGTTACGAGGTTTTCCTTTCGTCGGTAGTAAGACCGTCAAAAAAGAAACTAGAAACAATTCAAATATTCCAATTTCGAGTATCGTATAGTGATCGTTAAATGTGTAACACAGAACTGTGGAACGATCGATCACCTCGATTAAAGGACACGCGCAATTGAAAAGTTCGAAATACCTCGTAAAACATTCATTTTTTTGATTGTCTATACGTTTTATATGCAGAATAGCCTCGAGAATTCATTTATTTCGATAATTAACGGATTGAAAACCAATTTTGTACACAACTTAATAACAAAATATAGTGATGGAAATATATGTGAAGAATTCCACAGAACCAAAGAATCCACGAACATCGCGTGTAATATTGGAGCATAGTCATGGTTTAAATAGGACATACTATCATGTATTTTATACGATGGAAATCTTAGGAATTTACGTTGGACTCTATCCAACATTACTTCATACTTTGAATCCACAGAAAACCAAATAACGTTTTGTATACTATAGTACAACAGTATGGATATTCTTAAAAATCAAATAAAGAATGTTTTACGAATCCCAGTGTTCCCCAAAGCGGGATTTGCAATGTTAAAAGTGTTGAAAAAAGTCGAATGCGAGAGCGAGACAAACTCCAAGGTCTGTAATTTCTTCGATCCTTGATAATTCTAAATTATTATGTTCATACTGATGCACAGTTAGGAAAATACTGCGAGGCAACTTCGTAACGTGGCATTTAGAGAGATTTAATCTGATTTCATTCTCAATGCAGCTCTGATTGAATGTTGTAAAATCGGATTGCAATTTACGAGAAACGTCGAGATTTAATATATCGGTACATACAGGGTGCTTCGACAAACGAATTTTACGAATTGTTTCGAACTTTCTCGACTATAATCCTACGCCATAAATTAAAAACTATACAAACATATGACTGGTACGGGAAGTAAACGACCGCCATTGCGAATCCTTGGCCAAACAGAGGCATCGAATTTAATTAAACGTTTCGACTCTATTTTCGGGGTCACGCGATTGGTTTCGGTCGCGCAGTTAACGCAGTTCGAGAATGAAATTCGTATTTTCTCGTGGCGGATGAAAAACTACGCCGAGTCGATCCCGTATCGTGATTTCGTTTCGCGTCGCGTGACACCGGAAGCTGATTGATGAGTTTCTAAACGCGGCTAAAAGTTTACGCGCGAGGGAGCACGGCGCAAGTAACGTTACGTTAAGCAAGCAATAGAACCAATCGGGCTTCCAATCGAATATATCCGTTATCAGGGCAACGTCGTGGCACCGGGGTCGAGGAGTAACTTTTCCTTACCAGCGGCTCCGTTTTAACGAGAACGAATCATATTCGTTCTCGTTAACGACGGTTGCAACGGATTGCGAAACCGACGATGATTACGAGCGGCTATAGATTCTCATGTGCATTTTACCACGTGTCTTCGTACGGCCAACGCCAAAGCCCTGAAACAATACCCTAACAATAGGCTATAAAGCAAGACCGTGTAACGTTGCGTTGTATTCCGATACAAGACACGGTCTTTGTATCTCATCTCTTTATATCGTAACGTATTACATTCTCTGTACCCCCCTCTCCTCTTAGTTGCTCGCGTAATGTTATTAAATTTCATCGTGCGATAAATTCGATTATATAGTACGCCGCGAGTTACTACGTATTCGAATCCTTTGAGACGCGGAGATTCATTTTCTAATTTGATTTGACGCTGCAGTCGATAATATTAATATCAGGCTATTCCACGTGAATGGTGTACCCGATTCCATCTTGTTTTCAAGAATGAAAATCCTTAGTAGAAGCCCTTGTTAACGTGATTACTTCGAATTCTAAAGAAACGATATCGTAATATCGTGTGCGGTGGTGTGTAAAACCACAATGCAGACCTGTTGGTCCACTTATCTACACACTGAATCTGCAATTCCAACCACCCCGAAAGCCCTTTGAAAGTTTGTGAATAGCAAAAGAACTTGCTATGCTTTACCCGGTAACGTGTTCCATAATGGTGCTCAACTTGATAATCTGCTAGATATTGCGGACTCTTTTGTAACTTACTTTGAATCTAGTTTATCGCCAGGCGCGATTATTCATTGCTATTTTAACTCATCGACGAACATGAATATCTTACCTCGTACAATAAATTTCGTATAATTCTTTAACAAGTCTTTAGCAAGGCAATTTTCGCAAAGTTCGATTGTGATCGATTTATTATGCTATCAATATTAAAGGCTACCAAATGGGTGCAATACACACCGACTTCTATATAAGACTTTCGATGTCATCAATCATAATATTCTTAACTAGTGGGAAGTTAAGTGCTTCAGAGTTCGAAGGTAACACCATTGTTTGGCTGTCTGGTTATCTTTGTAACAAATCACACTTTGCAAAATGCAATAGCCATTTCACTTGGTCCCAGTCTTATTCGATCTCTTCATTAACGATATTTCTGATGTTTGTTGCAATGCAAATTGGTAACATACGCTGACGCCATTTCTAAATTCCATGTCATTCGCTTTTATTGAAAAAAAAAGCATCATTAAATTTTCCTACTCCATTAAAGGCACTGAACTGGATGTGCAAGAGGAAGTACTCAATCTAGGAGTCACTTTTACCTCCGTTCTTTCCTTTGTAACACATTTTTCAGCACATAAAAGGTGCCACCTCCGGAGCCCTAGACTTTGTTATACGACACTCCGCTGGCTTCAAATGTCCTCAAATCTTCTTCAAATCTTTGTACAGTCTCGTTGCTTCGTTCGTATCTCGAACGCGTGCCTCAAATTTGGAATTTTTTTACGCGAAACTGAATCGAGAATGTAATGCCCGGTTAATGGGCAAACGATTACGCGAAACAAATGCAACGAAATGTGAAAGGTCAGAGACGAAGGATAACGAGAACAATAATAATACAGAGCTGATAGCCGAATGTTATTTTCCAATATCGAAAATCCATCAAATTCGCTGTATAGAATTTACATTGTGACCCGTCGAGCGGAATAACGCCGAATTATGACGTTCGTTTGTTCCGCCAACGCGGCCACCTTCGCGATGTTTATTCCGCTCGGATGCGCGACACCGCGCGACAATCCTGGCTCGAGGAAAATCCTGGCTCTCGACCTAACTCCCGGGGAGCCTGATTTTCGAGCACGAACACCATCCGCTTATGTTACATTTCCACCCTTTCGAAATGCGCGACACGGTCATTCGCGTCTACGAATCTGGCTCGTAAAGCCACATTCCCCACGCGTTCCGTAGAACATAACGACTCGACAAATTTAACAAGATCTTTCTAGTTGTTTAAGCAACGGTTCTATCGAACGGAAGGTCTTAACTGATCGTGACAAACGGAGGATTATAAAAGCAATGAGCGTAAATCGTAAAGCTAGTGTCCCGGAAGTTGTGTCAAAGTTAGGGAAAAAGTCAGTAATGAAAGAGTTTCTTGTGTTTTAAGGGAATTGGATATAATGGAAAGTAGCCAAGAAGACCCCATATATCAGTGAAGCAAGAAGATGAAAATGTTCACAATTTGCGAACGCAAATTGTACTAGAAGGTGGCAGAGGGGGCGTGCACCCCCGGCGACGGGAACTGGTTGGAAAGTTGAAATAATAAATTTACGGAAACCAGAAGAAAACTTCGTCGGATTAACAAAAAGTGTACTATGTGCACATTTGAATCTGTTCAACAGCAAGTGCTACAGACCGTCATCAAGAATGTTTTATAAATGGTATTTATTGGTAAAATCCAGATTTAGTGTTTAATATTTGATAATATTCCTGAAAGTTATCTCAGTCTGTAACCCCTGACTCTGTCGCAACTTTTTTGCAGATTTGGTAAGATGTGTAAGGATGATCGAACGACTGAAAACGGGAATAGCTACAGCGATTATGCGTCGCCGTAGAATAATGCATTTCACGAAACACGTTTCCCGCTGGCGCATACGAAATATCTCGGTTTCCTCTGCATCTTCTGCAATATATTTAAAGAAAAAGATTGTTTTCCTCGAGTAGTTTTATACGAGAGCTTTCCTTAGTTCCATCCGATTAAATAAATCTGAAGAATAGCGTTGGTCGTTGGTCGCCGCAAATTGCAAAAAGCTTTCTTTTTTTCCACGTAAATTCCACGGCTCGAGCATTTTTATCAGCATTGTATTTCAACCGCGGTAATTTACCAAATACGAGCTTAATTAAATTTATTGCGACTCCCGCACGTGTGAAGGACGCTGGCAACATTAAATTATCTTTCAACGATATACTGGGGCTAAATTGCCTACGTCAACTCCGTTCGCGATATTTTTCTCAATTAACGTATAAATCCATACTTTAATTGCGTCATTTGTACAAGCTTCCGATAATTGGCTATTTTACTTCTAAATATATTCCTTGTTACATGTGTTTTTTAATTTCTAGATTAAATTAACTGGAGGCGTCGGTGCAAAAATGGCAGCCAACAGCCTCGCGTTTACAAAAATTATGTACTGGGTATGTCTTGATAGCCATACCCCGCCAGCATGTTATTGAAAACGTACTGACGCGCTATTAAAGTAGCGAGCACCCTTTTTAAACGAGTCTGTACTCTCGGAGGGTTTAAGTAACGTTTGCATCGCGATATCGAATGCGAGAATCATCGTTCTCGTTGAGCCATCTCCCGCAATATCGATGAACTAAAGCATTAGGATTACTCCAACAGCAGGGAATGGCGCTATATCTTGATCGATTTAAAAGGAACGATCTCACGGTAAAGAAAAAACGTACGATTACGATTTCATTACACGGAAGAACGATTTCGTAGAGCGTAATATCGTTCGGTCGACAAATTATTAGATGGCCTATCCTCGGTCACGGTCGGTAAGAAATTTTAATTACAAAATTTCAATACCGACCACGTTATTGATAATTTGATTCACGGTCAGTTCTCGCCAATCGCGCCATTGAACTGAGAACATTTCGAAGCGAATAGGATTATCGAGGTTTTAGAGGTTCGAGGGGAGAAAGCAGGCGTCGTTAGTTATTAATAGAGTTTTAAAACTGTTATGGTATCGGTTCCGGTTCTTGAAACAGTTATGGGAACAGAGATGGTGTGATAGCTATAACGCGTGAAAAAGGTTCTAGCATATATCGATTTTGTACTATAGCGTGTATTATAGGAAATAAAGATTCCGCCAAACCATTTCGATGAGAATCGATACATTAGTTTAAAACTATTTGTGAATCTTTTCCATCACTGGTTATTAGCTATACGAAGGACTATTGTAATCGAGTTAATTAAAACTTGAATAAAGACATTCGTGTCTGCGAAAGAGCTCTGTTATTCGAGACTGATACGAAGTCTTCGACGGACTTACACAAGCAATGATACGAACGACTCGATGATTGAAAAGGAAATTAATCTTCGCGGGGGAATTAAAACGATCGCGTTATTTTCGCATCTCCCTGTTCCATCGAATCGCCGGTGTTCGTACACACACGGTGAAATAATGCACGAAACGGACATGGGAGAAGCTGGAACACCAAATTAGGAATAACGCGGCCGACTTATGAATTTAGTATTGGTCGCGGCCACAACTCGAACAATCCGCCGGGTAAATCTTCGCCGTAAAGTAAATTTACTCGAAATGATACTCGATTGCACGCAAAACTGACAAAAACCATACAATCGATGAACAATTTTAAGGAATATTGCCTCATCCAATGTATCATGTTATTAAGCTTATCGAAAGATAATAGAATTTTCTGGCCATCGTTGGGATCCTTAATCCGTTTCGAAATAAGCTGCTTCATAACGTGATTAATTTTTAATACTTTGTCAGTTCCCTTATACAGCAGAGTACCGATTACCCAGCATCCAGTTACTGCATTATCTATAGTTGTGTTTATTAAATATGAAAAACAAATTTTTAAGAAAAATCGACAGGGGGTAGGTGGAGAAATTTTTCGACGAAATTGAAACATTTCAAATCATTATAAAAAAATTATTTTCTGTTGCAGGGGTCAATTACAATCATTTTTGGTGAATACACATACACCCGAAATCCTAACCATTTTCGAGAAAAAAATTCTTTTCTCTCCGAAATTTCACGCGTATGTTTGAAACAACATAACTTCTGAATTGTTTGGAAGATTTTAATGTTTTAAAATGCAAACGAGGCGTAAGAGGCATTGCCCCAGTCTCGGGTATGCCGGATAATCGGAATTTTACTTTACTACACTCCTTACTCTTACGTTCAAATCACCCATTAATCGAATAAAATGGACGTGTCTCGTACATCTGAGATAAATGTTACGATCGTAACCGAAGGTCTTAGAGAAATTACGATCGAGAATACTGCAAAATATCATTTTGGCTGCCTCGTAAACCGATGCTCCGTAATTATTTCGGAATGTCAACTTCCTGCCAAAGAGCGGCCTGCCAAGTCCTCGCTAAAATTCAGGCGGCGGAGAAAACTGAAGAATAATCGTGTTGTAACTACTGGGAGGAGCGTGACGACGTTGTCAGCCATTGAATCGCAAATTTTTACGGGACTTTACCGAATGTCGACTGAATATACTTAATATACTCAAAGTTCCATGTATTCTAAAATCTCATAACAATTTACAGAGTACGATTATCTACAAGATCTCACCGCGAGGATGTAGCTACGAGCGGAGACCCGAAGAGAGACCGATGAAATTCAAGTTCCAACGTTTACGGGACAACAGCAGGATATAAAGGTACACGGAGGAACATTAGCATCTTGTGCACGTTGCGTTTTTGCAATTACGATCGCGTGGGAGGAGCAAGTTAATCAAAAGAGGAGTTACGCGCGATCAGATTGCCTTACCTGAAGATACGGCACGGTCTTGCAGAGAGTTAGACCCAGGAACCAGGTCTCCGTGACGTCCCATATCACGGTGAAGGGTTGACAAAGTATCAAAACCAGGAAGTCCGCCACCGCAAGGTTCGCGATGAAGTAATTGGTGATGGTTCTCATCGTGTGGTTCCTGTATATGGCGATACAGACGAGCGCGTTCCCGACCAGGCCAACGACGAAGATGATGCTGTGGGACACGATCAGCACCCAGACCGAGAACTTCGGGTATATGTCCGCGCTAGTCACGTTCCGGCAGTGGCTGCAGTTGCCCGCGTTTCTTTCCATACGCGATAGGTCTATGTAATTTATCGTCCAGTCGTAGTAGTCATAGTCGGTGGCGTCGACCAACGTGGGCACCACCAATGCCAACCAACCGACGATCATCGACCTAACGCGATGCATTTTTCTTCTCTTTCGAGATTCGTTTTCCCGTTAAAAAAATTCTCCGATCGACTCTGTTCCACGGGTTCGTTCAGCTCTCGGCTGGCGTTCCTCGCATCCTCGCGGCTTCGACGCCTTTTGAAAACAAAACTTGTCGCCGTGAATGCCCCGCAGGGCTGAACGTTCAACGGTCGTGCAAGGACGAAATAATATTCCGGCAAGAAAGTTGCCCGCTCGATCCTCCGTCGCTTCTTCTCTCGCCACTTCACCGGTGACGTTCACTTCGCCCCAATTTCCATGGCATTAAAGGTAATTCCCGTCGTCTTTTCCATGTCCCTTCGCCATTGGCGTCACTCGATAAACCAACGAGTGTTCGGGGATCATCGGGAGCAGCGTCCTTTATCCGATTAGCGTCGCGAGTCTCCAGCGATATTTTTAACCCCCTGGTCACTCGACCGCAGCACGCGCGTCAAACTCAAGTGCCGGAAACTTCGTCACGTAGACGGGGGAGGAGAAAAGTTAACGCGGGCAACGTTTTGGGCCCGGCCGTGTTGTGATTTCCCAAGCGTCGACGCGGCTAACGAATTTCCCTTCTGATAAATGGTCCAAACTCCTGACGGCCTAATAAGAAATTATTCTCGATTCAGACCACGGCGCTCCTCCCTTTTTCTATTCTTCAGTCCCTCTCGCGAATGGCCTGCGGGCTGGACGATAAATTCGCCATCGGGTCGATACGCCCCCAACTTTCTTTCGTTTCTCTTTTTTTCCTATCGAGAGAGACAGATAGTAACAGCCCCTTCGCACGACACGGTCGTTTTATCGAAACCAGCGTGACATATCTTCGCCCGAAATATAATATTTCAAGCGTATACAGGCGTACTTTTCATTGAAATTGCGATAAAACTGGAATTAAGAATTAATTAAGATTGTCGGATAAAATGATCGAATCGAACGTTACTCGCCGCGATACGTCTTGTCTTGTACAGATTTCCTTCGGGCCTGTCTTTACCTTCGTTTTCGAACTCGAGGTTTGGAATAGAATTCGATTACCTGGCAAGGGGCTATAAAATCGTTTGGGGATCGGTAAAGCGAATTTCGTCGCGGAAGTTAATATTAGAAACGAACGACGAACCGCACCGAGTTTATTTTCGAACGTCACGGAAAGTCGCAGCGAACATTAAGAAGTGTTAAACGCGAGTTCGCGGATTTCCGTTGCCCGCGAGGAACGATAAATATTCGCTCCAGCGCGGTGGTTCAGATTTCGACGGCCGCTCGAACGGATTTAATAAAATATGAACACGGAACGTACGAAGTGTATATTTTCTAAATTAATATTAAATCGTGAAACGATCTAGCCGAGCAAGATAATTAAAAATGGTCTCGATTAAAGTCTGCAAAGGTGGTCTTCAATTTTGCCAAGTCTTCTCGCGTTTATTAAATCGTTGATCGAGGCTATTCAAGCTAACGATACCGTGCACGGTATCTCTCGGGTTTACAGGTGTAATTGCGATTCTAGGTGTACACGTTCAGAAATTTATATAGCGTCACGATGCGATGGGACGTAGTTTACAGACTGGACTCCGGTAATGCAATTGCACGTAGTCTATTAATTGACCGTATCGCCATTCCGTTGATCGAAAAATCGTTAACCGACGTTAATAAACTTTGCGTGCACGGGCCCGTGACACGGCCTACGCGTGGCCGAGGGTATCGTTCGCTTCTTTCGCACGAAAATCCCCCGATAACATCCTGCAATCTTTGCTTCCGCGGTCAGTTTAATTGGAAAAAAACCACAATTGTCCTATCAATCTTACGCGTACGCGGTGGCACGGACAACCGAGCAATTAATCAGAAACTTGTCACAACCCGTTTCTGTACCTTCCGCGATGCGTTTTACGGCTTCCAACTGTCCCCGTATGTTTGCGATGCGGAATGTATGCGAACCGCGTAGACGATCGTACTAAATCGACCGAGTCTTTCGGATCTTCCTTTACCTTCGTGTACAAGATTGCACGGCGACCGGTGATCTATCGTATCGATTCGTTATCATAAGTATTTCTATTCGTTATGAGGTATGCACGGAAAGCTCATCCGACAGTAGTGGATGATCCGAAATATTTCTGACGCGATGTTTTCGATGTTCGTTCAGGTACCGTAGCGTCTCGTGCACGAAGTATCGTAAATCTGTCTGTTTCTCGTCAACGACTTAGCTACGACTGCCAGAGAAAACGGTTAAATTCAATCTATCCGAGGGGAAAACCGTGGAGTGTTCGTTCTCCGACTCTCTTTCCTGTGCATCATTTCCGGACGACGGGTAGCGGAGCCGCGGAATTTCGTGGAAAGGTCGCGCGCGAGATATTGCAAAAAATTCACCGTCGTGGAAATATCGCGGAAAAGCGAGCCTGGGAATCCGTAAAGTGACGAGTTTAAGGGACGCCGGTACGCGTAGTAATGAATATGAAACAATCTGCGGACGAAGTATTTCCAAATTGAAATTCTAATCCGGATGAACGTTATAACGAACCCGGAGGCGGGAGATAGAAAACTGAATTCGGTATTTCGGAAACGAGGGGAGTCCCGGTTAAAAGGGGCGACTTAAACCGTGTTTGGTGAATTAATTCCTACGGGAGCCTGATTCGTAAATTATACGCTACAGACGACGCGAACTATCGCTAACAATGACGGAGTATCTCTTGAATTATAGAGGGAGTTGGTCGTGTCCCTCCGCGATATCAGCAAACAGATCATCGACACAGAGAATCGTTCTATTGCGGAGCGAAAAGCAACGCGGAATATGCTCCGGTCTTTACGTTATTATGTTTAACGTCGCAAACTGTTACTCCGATACGGCATATTCGCCCTCAACTCGTTTGATGTCCTCGGATTGTTTCCTCCGGGGAGCAGCGAAGTCTCAGCTTCGTAAAGATAAGTCTGAAACAATTGAAGACTTGGGAATTGCGTGTCCAATTAGATCGCTCCAATTTCACGAGAACCTTTCCTGAAAGCGTTTGGGAACAAAGTCGTACGTCTTAAGTGACCGGCACAAACAATAGAAAATATTTCCGACGGCTACTTAAATAAGATGAGCCAGATTCGATCGAAATTCTAACTTCGCAAATCTCGAAATGTTTGTTAATAATTGTTTCAAATCGTTGTGGAAAATTTCTGGTCGAAACCATTAGGAACAAGTTCGTACACAGTCGCGTATCGAAGGTATTCGTGATTAAAGCCATTTCTCTATGTCCTCTATTAAGATTGATTCAAACGCGTCTAGTAATTTAGTCCAACGGCGCGTAATTTAGTAACTTGATGTGCACGGATGCTAAAATTTAGTCGAGTAATTTAGCGATACGATTTAGCAGTGGATCCATTTCGTCGTATTTTTCAACGATAAATTAAAAGAATATTCCAATAATACGATTTTCTGATTTTAGCTCTTTCTGAAGACCACCTGAGGCTTCCAACGAATGTCTTCTATTCATGCACGCATTGTTTCGTCTCTGGTAAGATTTCAACAATATTTTTCATGACATTCCTCCAACTACGACTGTACTAATCCAAACACTTTTCTATGCACTATTTGGCAGTATCTACTCGTCGCTCGACTAAATTACTGGACGCATCCGAGCTAGGATATTCTTCATGGTGGTCGAGGGATCGGTACAGAAAAATGCCTAAAAGGACGACGAGAATTTCACTAGGAACGAAGAGCAGGTGTTATTCACTTTATACCCTAATGTTAGCCAATGACTTCCATGCGAAAGGACGGTTTTCCAAATGTTTTCTTTTCGACTCCCGTGAGGTTCGCCTCGAACGACAGCACTTTTTGTTCGTTATTTGAAGTCAGGGTGAGTTGCTCGTGGCCGATTATTCTCAGAGCCACGCCGCTGGTCGCGTTTTCGCGCCAGATACGCTCATCGGATTATCGTTTCTAACGAAGAGGCATCTCGTAGCGCGGTCGAATATCCCTCGTCGAAGGAGACACCGCGTACGGGACGATCGTTTTTCTCGATGTCGCAACCGTTCTCGGATTCGCGTCTTATATTCTGGTCCGTTCGCGTGCTCGAAGACGATTTCCAACGTCTCGCGGTGCGTCCGTCGCGTCGACGGGCGAACGAAGGATCCTGGGTTCGGGGAAGGGATGTGAACGCGGCGACGGACTCTGCGAAACTGAGGTATGTACGTCGTTTTAACGAGCGCGTAGGTGCCGCGGCCCGCCGAAGCTGGGGCCGAGGCACGTTTCATTTTAAAGTTTTCCGATTCCCTCGACCCTGGCGAACCCCACGCGAGCTGTTTCGTCCTTTCCTGGGCTTCGTTATTATCGGGAGGACCGAAAATTTGTAAGAAAACCGAGGCAGCTGTACCAGTAACCGAGTAGACCGAATAATGCCCTCAAGAACGAGCAGAGGCAGCTCATTTGACAAATTACTCCGCTCTACAAACAGCGTTATCCAAACGTAAAGAAGAGCACGTCGAGTTAAAATCTTAATTAAAAAGCGAGCTCGAATCACTGGGTTCTTTCGAAATCTCGCGGTGTTTCCGAACCGATGGTCAGGGTTTGTTATCGTTTCGGGGAACGCAGAGATCGTACGAACGTCAACGGTACTCGACGTACCTTCGATATCGATTTATTCCGTGAAACCTCACTGTACATTCTCGATATATTTTTTCATGTAAATTCACCGCTTTTCGGATTGAAAACATTCTGTTGAGGTAGAACCAATACACGGATGCGCAATATTTAACGCTGCTAATTATTCACCGTAAAGAATAAAACTCTCGAGTGGACAGTAGATGCGAAGCCACCCTAACGACGTAATTAGTAAAACACTGTACAGAATTCAGACGCTTTTTGGAAAGTGGACGGCGAGCAGGTTTACCAGACACTAATTTGTTCCGCGTCCCGCATTATGAATTATACTTGTACGTTCCGGAACGAGGCTAATGCTTTTCAAAACATCTCTGATATTGCCATTAATTCGTATTTAAATTTTCCCCTGCGGGGCCTGCGTCAAGTCATCTTGCACTTTTATGTGAGAGACTGCGAGATTAAATCTAAAATACCGTATTGCATCGAGCACGACCGTGATCGAACAAAAAGTGATTCTGATCAAGCGCTGTTTCGGTACACGTTCCATCGCGTTCGTTCGCCGTTGTCGATTACGGGATCCTTTAATTTCGCCGTTGTCTTCTTTTCAAGATGTAACCCTTGAGAATTCAGTTTCCGGTGGGTACGAACTCTGGCCAACTAGAATTAAATTCCAATCGCACCTTTACGAGCTGTCGCCAGTTTACGAGACGATTCCGAGCGGAGCACAGTCGCCGAAAGATTCCACCATTGCTCGCCCGGGAGCATAAGTTCTATCAATTGAAAGTCAATGAAATGGGATCAGATATTTTCATCGTACGACGAGTGGCCTTTGTTCGCGACGGATACGCGATAAAGGCAAACGTTAACGGGATTTTGTTTTCGATCGATAGAAAATTCTGAGCTTGACCCCCGGGGCGGCTGACGTGACCGTTCCGTCTACGGAAATCCTTCGAAAATAAAAGATTTCCCAGGGAAGAGTATTAAATTCCGGCAGGAAATTCCTTTCGCCAATCCTGGTTAACGTGCACGTATTTCAGCGAGGATGTACATTCACGGGCTTAAGGAGCTATCCTCATCCGCAAAGGGAACACAAAGGTGTTCGTTATAAATAGTATCCATTAAAGGAAAACTACAAGATCCTTCTTTTTTAATTTATCAGATTTCTCTCTACTATATAGATTTCTTACGACAGATAACATCATAACAAAGTCACGTAAATTGTTTGCTCGTATCTCCCATCGATGCTGAAACAATTAGTGTGTTATTCGAACAGCTAGTACTCGAACTATTATACAGTGAACTCTATCAGCTTTGTGTGTTTGGATCATAACAACGTAGAACCTTTGTTGTGATTCTAGCAACGCTGTTCGCTGGTGTCTGTTTTTCTGCTCTGGCCAAGGATAAAAGGACTGTCCCCACTATACCTACTCTACAAAGTTGGGACGAAGACTCCGCTGGGCACCGAACCAGTACGGAACCCAATGGTGGGAGAATCGGTTGTCTGGTAGCAGGGACTTCCGTGACACTCGACGAAGAAGAAGGAACGTCTGATGGTGGGAGAAGTTCGTCATCCCTGAGGTACAACACCGCGGTGAGCTGAATCAGACAGTAAAATCTGATGTAAGTCCTATTGAATCGAGAATTGAGACCGTATTTGTCGTCGGGGTATTAGCGCCATCACGCAATCGCACAAGTACGGATTAATATAATTTGTGACTTGGTAAAATACGAGCTCCGCGCGTTATCGGGCGACGCGACTCCCTGTGGATTTTACGTGTCACACATATCCTGGTGACATCGCAGTCGACGCGTTAAGGAGGGTGCAGGGACAGGGATTTCATCCCCGTACGTCTGCCACGCGCTGTTCATTTATCATTCCAGCATCCGATAAACCTATTCAGAGTCAATCCTTTCGTCTTACAAATACAACATTATCGTCTCGTCGCCGGGCAGCCTATAGAAAATCTATTACTTATTTTTTGCTCCTTTTGCCCTGCACGCGCGAATACGACGTTTACGACTGTAATTAATTTTGTTTCTTGCGCCAACGCGAAACGCCGGTCGTGTTCGCGTCGCGCTTACGCAACAGATTCTACCGAGAAAACGAGAAATTCTTAACGAAAGGAACGGTACACGGCAGCGGGACGAACTTTACGAATGTCAAACTTTAAAATTACAAGAGCGTTCACGGTGCCATAAGTTGCTGCGGAAGTTTCGATGAGCGAACCGCGTCGCGAATTCTTCTTTGTTGAATCCCCCGCTATGGGCAAGGCCAAAGATTCTAAGTTTCGAGAATGTATGGCACAGCGGAGTACCACTTTACTTTTTACTATTTGCGCAATAGCCCATTTTCTCTGAATTTATCGAATCTAATATTTCACGATTTAAACCGTGATTATATGTATATTCGCGAGCGAAATAACGCGAACGAAGCTTACGATCGATCGTCGCTTCTTTGCAGAAGTGGTTGACAATGTTCGGATCGTTCTAAGCGCGCGACCTACGGAAAAGTCGCACGTGCCATGATTAATGAGCTCAATGTAAACTGTTGCCGTTTAATGTGTGTCCTCGTTTTGTGTGAATACACGACGAGCCGCGAGCGTGCAACAAATTGATATCGTTCTTTCAAGCCGTTCGATATTTTCCTTTGGCTCGTTCGCTGCCGATTCAACGCGGTTTTTGCGCTTAATTCCTCGCACGCGCTCGAAAAACATGCGTTTACGTTCTCACGCATTTAAAAGAATAATATGACCTATTTGAGCGGTGGATAGGAACATGCATGTTCTCGCAAGATCTTTTTAATTTTACACTCTACTAATAACATTGTACCGCTATCGATTTTAAACATCGAAAATATTCTGCCGCTTTTAATCGGTTGTTTTGACTCGCGGAACAAGCACTTTAACGACTTTAACGTCGCGGGAAGTGCCGGTACAGGTACTGAACGCTAATGTAGGTCAGAGCACAATTGGAGCGGTTGTTTCTTTAAAGACTGGTGAATTAATTTTTTACGAGAATGAGGAACGTTAAATTTTTTACGGGGCTTTGACGGTCAGCACGTTTCTACGAGTACATTTCATCCATTACTATTCTTTCTTCCGTTATCAATCGAAAAGAAACCAGTATTGAACTCGAACCTTTTTTCTTTTTTTTTATGCCAAAAATGGCCGAAAAAATATAACTGTCTTTTGTGTTAAAACTAAATGGTAACGACATCTGTAGTATAAAAATATAATTTGTTGTTTCACGTTAAAATCACATGGATCATTATACGGAAACTTATGCGTACTGTGAATCGGTTGTAGGTACTTTTTAAAAAACAGTAATTCATTCTTAACAGTGATATTATATAAAATTAATGTCCTTTTATTGCTAATGAATCTTATTATATTTACAATAGAAGAAATTTCTAGTTATCACAGCTGTAATGATATTATAAGTATTAATACATCTGACTACTCGATTAACATGATTTTGTGTTGGGAGTCTAATTAACGTGATCTTAATTATCGTCACGGATTTTTGATACTTCGCAGGCACGCACGCCTGGATTATCGCACGCAATTCGATTTGCTAAAAAAATAGTTTTAAAGAGATTGAAAATAAGTTTCTATGCTTTGTTTACAACAACCCTGTGTCGATGATAAATTGTCATGTGTATACATGATATCCTTAAAATACGCGAGGCCATTTTTATTTTTAATCATTTCTGGCGGCCGCTTCTATTATGATGATGAGGCACTTGATTGCGATTTAAATCATAGAAATACTTTTAAAGCACATTCACAAACAATTCAAACGAACGTGTTCATTTTATAATATCTTCTTCTTTATCTTAATAACTTCGAACCTAGAAATATAACCGATCATCCATCGTTATTAGTAAATTCGGCCGTACTACTTCTCGACAATAAAACTTCATTGTCTTCTCCTTTCCAGTTACTTCGTATGAGCACGAAAACACCGATGCAAATGATTAAAATACCAATACCAGCGATACCGAAAAATGTTACGCTACCCAAAGATTGTAAAATTATGACAAATTTCACTTTACTAGCATAACTAGGAGTCAAATAAGCTTCCTGCGTGAACCACAACATCGGTACAAATGTTTTCTCGAGGTGCTTGAACATACTGAAAATAGAATTATGCAGATTGATTTTAATTTAGAATTCATTCAAGCAAGATTTACATCCTTTTTTCATAAAAGAAAAAGTACTTACGACATATATTTGTCAGGTTGGATCAACAGATTTAATTGTAACTGCGCACTTACTTTCAATGGAACACCCGTATTCTAAAAAAATTCAAAATGGTCATAGTATAACGCGTCGAGTTTATCGATCGTTGCATTTATCGATTGTCACACATTGTCTCGAAATAATTACCGGTTCTATGGATATCGAGAGTTGGTGTTTCTCTTTACTAGGATTCATTCCATCGATGTTGTTTCTATAACTCGGATCTGCTAAATAAAAATGTGGTAAACTAATGAATGCCGGCGCACCCCACTTACACAACGAAATATTTAACGCTCCAGACGGTATGCATTCTCCTTCACAGTAACATTGCCGCCATGGTACTTTTGTACCATTATCGAAAATTGTATCATCACTGGTGTATGTAACACCTGTTAATCCTTCGTGTATCGTTGTATTTGCATACACCACCGTCATACTCCTATTAGTTAAGTAACAAAACGGGAAGAATTAAATGCACGTTGAATATCGAAAGAATTTTTCATGCCGTTTGATTCGCGTTGAACGTCCATCGGACGTTCTGGATTATCCTCAATATTTATTCAAATTATATCGAAATTAGAAACATTTAATTTTTCAATGACGTAATTATTATTTTATAGTATATTTTACAGAAGTTTAATAGTATTAGGGTAAATGTTCTAAACAGGCAATGCAAGTCACAGTGTTGGCTACTGGTAATTAAAAGTTAAATTAGTTTGTCTCGATTGCAATACATCCTTTCTTATAGGTCGGTGAAAGAGGTTAGGAACTATTGATAACGAAAATTGTACTTACGTGCAAATATCAGATATAAAGAAAGAAATGGTTTTATTATCTGGTAATGGTGGCCACAAATCACCATTTGTTCCTTTTACTATCCCACATTCTCCGCGATAGTAATCAACCTTATCTTTGTAATTCCAACCCTTGAGCATTCCTAATTCAAGCATATTAGACACGCCAGTGAGCATGTTGAATGTTCCATCGTACGTTGCAGAATTATTTCTCTGAGGAAGTTAGGATACTATTAAACAAATTCATTAAAAGAAACTTTTATGTTTAGGACGGTTCCTCTTTAGTAATCGTGTAGAAATAAATCTCACATTATAAAACCAACCAAATTTATCCATTGGAATCTTTGTAATTTTTAGTTTTCTAGCAATTGTTAACATAGTATCGTTGTAGCCCTCGAAGAGTAACTGATTAACAGTCTTGGTAATTACTAATTTTTGTTTTATCGCATGCATAATTCTATCTGTTATGTCACGAAGTAATGGTTTTTTGTGTCTCAACGTGTATGCTACACTCTGGAAAAAATAAATAAAGGAAGTACATATTAATACATATGTACAATTATATGTTTATAATAAAGCAATAGAAAGAAATACATACAGCAGTTACAGGATTTATATTAGTCACATTATCTGACAATTTCCCTGCTGACAAAGACTCATCAAAATGCCATACCCTCTTCCTTTGATATGTTATAGTATTATTTTCATTCCATGTTTGTTGCAGCTTATAATCAACTTCTCTGTAACATAGAAATCTTACTTGTAGCGATGTTAATAGAAATCAGAATGTTCATCATAAGTGTGGTACCTAAATACATAAGGACCCATTTCTGCAAAATGTGGCTTTGTTCCATTAGGGGAATTAAATGCTTCTGGATTAGTCAAATTAAACATGTACAGTTTCAAATACATGGGAATCGGAGTCTCTTTCCAAAGTTCATAGTTTGCAGATGTTGGTGTCAAAGGCAGTTGCTGTGATAAAATAATAATATTAATTATGTAAGAATCAGAAATTATGGAAAATATCAGATTCATGCTTACCGATCCTAAGATGGATGTATAAATTGCAGACCATAGTATTCCTAATGTCAGTCCAAAAATTGTTACTATCAAACCTATTATAAATATAATAACAACCTTCTTCCAACCTTTCAACATTGTACTTGATAATTTTGACCTGAAAAGGATAAATATCACAGTTTTAAGTGCCCTTGTCCCCATTATACATGCGCATAATAAACGTAACGACGTACTTATTATTTTTCAGATAATGTTATTCAGAGAATACGGTAATATTGAAAACTTCATAAAGTCAGCAATTTTTCTGTAAATAATATTACGAACTTCAATCGAAATTTTTGTTATCAATGTCACGTGTTTCGAAATTTATCGTTTATCTTCTTCTAACAATGCCTTCCAACACTGTCCTCTTAGTAAAACGTCTTATGAACAACGAAACATAATATTTAGCATTAACAAACATGGTATTGTGTTAGTACCTGTCAAATTTGTATGTGTGATACAGTTAAGTGTCATCGTTCGTACGTGTCGCTGTCAAATCAGGATCAAAATTTTATCTTACGATGTAACGGAAGATGTATCCAAAATCAACAACGTCGAAGCGATAAAAAACATTGTGAATTATTTAAAATATTGTACGCATCTACTCGGAATTCCAATATGGTAAAAACTAAAAGAAGAAAGGTCTGTCTAAACGGGGGTAAAAATTGACTGTAAAAATTTGTACGATTGACAGATTACTGTCACAGTTCGGCGCATGTCGCGTTGGCACACAAGCGCGAATCTTTAAAATCTCGTCGTAAAGTATAATAAATATAGCAAAAATTGGCTAGGTTAAAACACCAGAACACTATACTATAAACATAATGCATAAAATTGATATTATTCTAAACCTTTTGCATATAATAAGTAGACTGCATTATGTTTTATTAAGCCAAGCATTTTCACATTACATGGTATTACAGCTGGAATTAAAATATCTTTTCAATTTGTTTCATCACATCTACCGTTACCTAATTTAATAAACAACTTGATTAGCAATCTTAATTTTAATTAATCTCCGAGCAGAGTTCAACGTGAAATGTATGCCAACAATCTCAAAAAGATTGATTATTGTTTTGTTGATTGCATACTTAAAACGTTTCGATATGAATATTGTTTTATATGATGTCCATCTGCTTGATAAAAATCTACTCGTCGCCAAAAAATATATTATGCCTCCTAAGAAAATAAATTTCATAAAAGTTTTAATAATAAGGAGAGGGCTGTGCTTCTAAACGCGCGCGTCTACCCATATTTTCAAAATTAATTTTGTCGAAAATGAAGATTCTTATAAAAAAACAAATTGTATGTTTTTTTCATTTATTTTCTTCGGAGGCGTTGTCTTTTTCTGCTTAAGATTTTATATCCTAAATCGTTGCTTGCCTTGTATGTTTCAGAGTGACGCCAACTTGCGGCGGATTAATTTGCCATGAAAGTGAAAGCGAAACGATGGTTTTCTAAACGATTATCTAAAAGAGAAGTTCAGTGCAATGTCCTTGAGAATTAAATTTAAACTCTGCTTAAATGTTAATTCTTATATACAACGTTGAATCCTTGAGAATACTATCTACGGCTTGTTAGTTATTGTGTGTGAACATCAGGATCAATAAGGGGGCTGTTTACTTCTGGAATTAGCTTTGATGGCTTCGCGATTATGCGTACAAGAATCTGCGAGAAGGATAAATCGGATTAAAATACAATGAAAGGTGTACGCGGTTTTACAAGGTAAAAATATTTTTGTTAACATTCAATTTTTATTCATACTTGTGTCTTATACTTTGAATAATTATATTGGCCCGAGTTCGATATATTTTTGTTGTAAAAGACAGGCCCTATCATAGATAAAGTGTACTTGGTTCTTTTGATCGATAACAAATCACATTATCAGTTTAATACCAAATATCAAGGAGATTTCGCTCGATCGTCATAATCGGAGGTTAATAAGTTCTTTATTTCAGTAATATCTTTAATTCTCTATCAAATCGTACCCGTATAAATGCATCGATCCTTTTTATCTGCAAATTATTATTATACAAGTAAACTCTAATTAGATAATTTCGCGATATCGTATTCAGTGATCAGCAGACCGCTCGATATCGATCTCCGACAAGAATATCGGATAAATTCGAATCGAAGAAGCAAAGTAGTGAGAAAAGAGATGCATAGACCGAAAAAAAACTCATATTATCGCATGATGAACAAAGTTCAACATCTCGGTGAATTCAAGATTAATTAATCATGAAACGAAGATAAAAATACATACGTGACGTTTAAAAATTAGCATTTTTTCGCTACGCCCGATTGTTTGCGAAAACGTTACACGTGAACTTAAAAGATACCACTTCTTTCGTATCAACATAAATTTAAGAAAGTATACAACACGTATCGCCGGTGAAAAATATATTTTTCAACGTGCATGGTCTCTTTAATTCTATAAATATAAGAATTTTAGAGTGGCCAGCTTGGCCAACCAATTTAAATATAACTGAAAATGTTTGGGCCGAGCTTTCCAAACAAGTATATAACTGTAGAAGACAGTTCAAAACAGTACATGAATTTGCGCGAGATAAAATTAAAAAATCGTATTACAAAATTATATAAAGGTATACATCGGTGAAGAGGTATCGTTAAATATTAATATCTCTTCTTGATATTTTTTTTTTAAATTGTCGATGGACTAGAATATTAACGAGCGATATTAATAAAATGCGTTCTCGGTTTAGTATTTCGCACAGACGAACAAAAATCAAGAAACCGATGATTCAATCGCTTCTGTATGCATCTTATGGTTATTAATCATGTACGCAGAACACATTACGAAGTCGAATGTGTCATCCGTTTATCATAGTCGTGTATAACTCCTTCCGATAAATTTCATTCCGAGGATGCTAGTTTACATTTTATACCGCAGTTCTTTGTCGAGAATTTTGAATAATTTGATACAACTTTCTTGGAAATGATGGTGGCTTCCCATCGAGGTACATGTAGAACCATCGGTGAAAGTCGAGAGAAAGATCGGTATGTGCCATAAACGTGCAAGCGCAGGAATTTTTCGGGCTGGAAAGGAAACGCATCGTATCCGAGAGATAGAAATCAATGACTCTAGAATTGCACTTCACTTTCGTGTGCACATGCGGTTAAATTACGTTTCGATGCGTAGAACGTGTTATTCCTTTCTCTATTTTTTTTATTTCTTTGCTAGGCAAGCACGTCGTTATTCGATTAATTACATTGCAACTCGGGGTAACATGAACTGTGTATTTAAATTGTAATCTACACACACGACTGGCGCGAGTCGAAATATGATAATATCGCACGAATCGCCGTAATATGAGCAGTATTAATTTAAATGAATTTTATTATTATTTATTTACTATTTTTTTTTCTTTCGATAAAATTTATTTAAATTCATTACTCAATTCAATACTTAAAATCATTATACTCGACACAGTTTCGTTTTTACTAGAACCGAATAACTTATAAATATCGCACAAGCATTGTTTACAAACACGATAGACATTATGCATCGGTCAATGAATTATATCCTAGACGTAATTGTATGCCGATATATTGCTTCAAATTCCCTTATTAACACTTTGACAGCAATTGTCACGCGCACGTGATTTTAATATCATCATCCGATCAACTCACTGTGTTTCGTACACAGGTCTTGTATTGTATGTTCATTGCGATGTCTCCACAGTTATAATTCCTTGATTATTAGTATCATATCAAATTTCATTTCGTAGGAATTCATAATTCGAAAATAGCTTGCATGAATTTCGGGTCTAAAAGCAGCTGGAAAGGTTTCATCGAATTCCCATAAAAATCGCCGGCTGTAGGCAATAATCTTCGCGTGAAACACGCGACCATCACAGTGAGAAGAAAACTTAAAAACGCGCGTGTGGGTATCAATGTAAGCGGAAACCCGGCCGATCGAAGATGCCGCTCGTACAAATCGGGTCGTATCGTTTTAATTACAAACCTCGTTGCTGACTAATTAGATGATTCTCTTTGGGGGACTCGTCGTGTTCCGTCGCCTACGTAGTCATGTTACTACTGGTCATAGATCGACGCTAAGTATAATAATTGAAATACACACGAACAAAATTATCACGGCCAATGGTAACGTGAACACGAAAGATTACACTACGACTGGCCTGCGCGAACATTCACGGCCCGCTAAAGCAAGGCAGGCCGAGATATTGCACGGAGAGGAGGGATCGGTGGTGGGTGGTGGAGCAACGCATTCGTTAATGCGTGTGAACACAAGCTTCCCCCGTTGTCAATTATACCGAGAATCTGTAAAACGATCGAGTTTACAATGAATTTTTATGTACATCTGCTGTAGCATTCGCGTTAATTCACAAATAGAAAAATTTCATATTTTAAATACAGCTTAGAAACGGTGGAGTTCATAGCGATCGACGCGATGCTACGTAAGTGATATCGTAAACTTGATGGATCAACGGAATCTTGAGTCAGATTTTCTGAATCATAATTACGATGCATTGTTCTTGCATCGCATTTGCGTGACCTTTTTGTGCCTGTTAGATTTGCCCACTTAGAATCATGCTCCTACGAGATACTAAACACGATTGAAAAATTTAACGAGCAACAGCTTTTGTATTTACGAGTGGCATCGTTGATTTGTCCTGAGTATTTTAAATTAATTGCTACGGATGTTAGAAACGCGAGCGCAACGTTGGATATTTTATTTTCATGATAGCGGGAACTCTGATTAATGCCACTGTTGTACATCAGTTGTTTATATTTTCATTTATTACAAGAGTAAAAAAAATCCTGAAAAATAAAAGAAACGTCTTACTTGTTGCAACATTTTATTTATCACAATTCCATTGTGAAAAATATACGACCGAATGATCAGTTTTTGCAAGTAAAACTTGCACCCGTGCATACAAACATTGTAATGACGATGCAAGAGACAAATGTTACATTGGACCCTTGTTAACAATGATCGATAATTATAGTACATACAAACAGTGCATAAAACGTACGTGCAGGTAGTAAAAAAGAAATACTGATGATACGTCTCAATAGAGATAAATTTCGTGTTTGATGATATCAATCGTTTGATTCTACGGCAGGGACGATAATAAAATTCTCAAGTTATCGCGATGCTGTTTGTGTTATTCATATCTTCTTGTAACTGCGTACGATCTCGTATCCTCGCACACATTAAACTGTATTCTAATACACCGATTCGAACGTTCATTTCAGAGATTTCATTTTTCATTTTGGTAATCGTCTTTTTTATATTTATGAGTGGAGCTACAAACAAAATAATTATAATTAATGTGTTTACATACTATATTATTTACGTGTTACAAGACATTTCACAATACTTACTTCCGTCCGTCATGCTTGAACCTCTTTCGTCCATTTCTTTTTTTATATGCTCCAATTCCTCTGACAGTTTATTAAAAATTCTTGTTCTTTCCGTAACACCACCGCTAACGTCTCGATATTGTTCTTTAATTTTCGAATGTTCATCTTGGAGCGTTTGGTACTCTTTCAAGATAGGTTCAAGTTGTCTATTTAAATACGATTCTCTTGTTTTTAGTTTATCTAAAGTGTTCGATATATCAATGTGTAATTTGTCTAATTGACTTTTGGTTCCAGTTAGATTTGTCGTTATATTTGTCCGGAATTGCTTCATTTGATCTATGTGTGATCTCCAGTCTCTTGAATCTAGAATCAATTTTTACGTTTTCTAGTTTTTGTTGTTAACTTACCTTTATAAACTTTTACCAAATAATCTGTACCTGTTTTAATAGTTACTTTTAGTTGAGGTAACACTCTTTCCAGTTCCAACTGCCATTCTTCTCTGTTTGTTCTGGACTCCAAAATATCATCAGGTTTTTGTGTTTCAATCTAGAAAGAATTGTTGTGCATTTATTTGTATTCTTCCATGCATGATTTCTATAATTTGTAAACTTGTTTGTAGAAGTTTTATTTACAAAATTTTGTCCATAAAGTTTTGTAATATCATCCACGTGTAAAATATCTTCGTCCTCGTCGTCGTATTCGGCCATCATTTCTTCTTCCACTTTTTCTAAAATTAATTCTGCATCATCATCCTCTATATCAGGTTCATTACTTGGTTCATCAGGTGGTATTTCTACTCTAAAAACATTAATGTATTTGAGATGTTACAATATTCTGTTTCATCCTAACATTTGTTAAATGTAATAACAAATTTACTTTTTCCACTGAAATTTTTGTATCTTCAGTGCCTCATCGGCTAAGTTATCCAAAACATAAATAGCATGCTCTCCACTGCCTTGCTTAAGTTTATTAGGTGGAAATTCTACAGGTACATTAATGTCCCTCAAATGATCCAATATTATAGCTATTGTAGAATTAGGATCATCTGATTCTTGTGGAGGCTCGAAATTTTTGCCAATTTTTCTGACCAACCATGCAGCCAACGATGTAAAAGTATAAAATTGTTCTCCTGGATTTGTTTGCATTACAAAATAAGCCCTACATTTCAAAGAAACAAATTATTAGTATAGATTTGTGAAACAGAAATTTTCAAGTTCCATGTATGATCATTGTATCTACCTATGTATAGCTTTTATTTTAAATTCTGGTAAAAATTCTGTATCATAATTTAACAACTTCAACTTTTCTAGTAAATCCTCCATTCTAATGTATATAACATAGGGAGCAGATGGAGCAGATCCATCTTCTATAACAATCTTAGGTGTGTCTCGAAACATGTCTGTAAAATAGTATTGCATGGTTATACGTGCTGGTGCAAATCACAAATATAAGCAAACTGTATATTCTTTGTTGATGGAGTTGCATATATTTTACCTCTTATTTTTTACTATCTCTGGAAAGGTTTATATATACATGTGTGATTTATTTATATCTGCAACTATAACACAAAACTTAGCGTATTGAGTGAAACATCTTGTAAATGTTCGTTTTAATTGTATAAAATTCATGCTTCAACGCAACATCGGTCTTTTCGATCGTGCAACATATATACACAGCATAACAGAATGTTTTTCGGTTTAAATGTCATTGATAACTAGGGATATTCGTATTCAGTTTGTAATGTTGCGCGTCCGGCGGCGTATTTCCGACTCTCCGTAGGGAATTCGGCGGGGAACGCTGCCCGTGGAGTGCTAAGGCACTCTGCTCCTTGGACGCGGGAGTTTCAAACGAAGATCGCTAGATAAGGAAAATAATAAATGGATACAAGGATTTGAACACACGTAAATAGTACTTTAATTAACTCAATAAAAGAATATAAAACAAAACAACCAAGATTTCGCAGGAATCTTGTAACCCTTTCGTACACTTCCGCTCTCTTAATTCAAGATGCTTCTCTCGTTGCCGATTCAACTCTATTAACTAACTCGAAATAATACAAGTACGATCTCGCTTAAGTTACAATGATACGTCCGTTCACTTTCGATCTCCGGATTCAAGTGAAGTCGCTCTGCCGTTCGGTCGAGGCCCAGCCCACACGTAGGCCCCTCCAGTCGTCCTTTCTTTCATTCGGGCCGGGCGCAAAACTCTCGCACGCGCGTTCCTCGGCACACTCCCCCATCCCTCGAGAACGGTCCTATGCGGCACGTGGTCGTTATCGGCTTTTCCACGCAGCCCGTTTCCGGCTATCGATAGCGCACGGCCCAAGTTCCAGGAATTACACACTTAGGAGAAGGGATCAAAGGGGAGCTCACGACGATCCAAACATCCGTCTCCAATAAATTATTGGCTAATCTATTTCCCGAAGTGAAATCATTAACCTCTTTTAATCCGTAGAATTGGCGCGGGCTCCACTTTGTCTCCCTTTCCTATTACATTCGTGTAATCTATTCAAACCTCGCGCCCCCCAGAGCTTCTGCTACACGGCGCCAGGCGGCGACCACAACAGTAAAAAGATTTTACGTCGCTACGACATAACTTTGTGAGCAGTCTGAATAGTTGGTAGCACCGTGAGTCGTTCATTTTGTTGATTTTGACAATCGGTTACTTTCAGTTTTTTGTTACGTTTATTGAAATTTGTACGTGTAAAGCATTTTTAGTGTATCGATCAACAAGAAAAATATATTGATAGATTATTAGAATGTGTCTAATATCAGAGCCACTGTTATTCGTACTAGCTTTAATCAACACCGGTTCACTACTTTTTCTTTTGATGTATTTCGTATCCTTTTTATGTTCCATAGTTAAATTGGAATTTATGCAATTGCTTTTGTCTCATTTACTTAACTTTGTTACTTAACTATCCTACATATTCGTTATTAAAAACCGCATCTAGGGATTTTATCAATGTAACGTTTGTTTTTATGCTGTTATGTAGTAGTGGCGGCACATTTAATTTCTCGACGTAGTTGTTTTTCACATAATTACTAATAATAAACACTTGCAATTACTTTCCTTATCACCATTATATAGCTTATAACTTTAACAGATTTAGAATGTGACTATTTAAATGCACAACAATGTTGTTCAAACTTAAACTTGGTAATTCCGTTGTATTTTTATTATTACAATATAGTAATAAATCAATTCAAATGACTATTTAATAGTTAATTTCATAATTTATATACAGGTTTTGCACCCCAAATTCAACCTTTTGCAAATCAAACTCACTGTTTTCCTTTTGTGGAAGAATATGATGATAGAAAATGGAAGAGTATGCATTGCCTGATCAACAAGATCGTGTACTTTAAAACAAAACAATGAGTTTGATTTGCAGAAGTTGAATTTTAGTGCAGAATCTCTATATATGATGATTATATAACAATTGATAAACTTTAAATAATATTTTTTCAGTGGGTGGTACCAAAGCTTATGGCACATATATTCGTAGAATTCTTATTATTATCACATGGGCAATTGGTATTGGGCTTGATAAATTTACCAATGACACTGTGGTTACTCTTTGAATATTTTGGAGTACCTCGTGGTAATATGGGGGTTTATGATCCTACAGAAATTCACAATCGTGGGCAATTGAAAAGGCATGCAAGAGCTTGTATGATTTATCTTGGATATTATCTTATATTCCTTGTCATTTATCTTTATTGGTGAGTATATTTTATGTGGTTGAGTCAAAATTAAAGATGAATGGGGTTTGTTATCCCTTTTCACTTTTCAGCATGATCATTGCATTGTTAAAAGGAGATCCAATCTACAGAGATGACACAGATTTCATGGATCTATAAATACGACATAATAATAACAATAATATTTCAACTTTGATACGCTTTTGTTTTTTAATTTAGTCAGTCGTTTTTAACAATTTATTTATTTTTATGTTAACAAATACCAAATGAAACTTAAGATCTATACATCACAGAAATTACACTGTACAATCTCATTTACTTTAACTTGTATCATATCTTTCTAAGAGATTCATTGGCTGTAAGACTTCCAAAAGATTGCAGAGCTTTCTATGTCAATTTAAGTATAATTACGTAAGTATTCATATTATAGGTGATAAGTGAGCGATATGAACATCAATTTTGTAGTTACAAATATACAGGTAACAGAGAAATTGTAAAAAAAAATAATAACATGATAATAATTTAATATTATTACAATACCCTTATTGCATATATATCTTATAAAAAAAAAGATTATATTTTTTAACATCATTTTCTAAATAATAAATGTCTTAAAACCTTAAATATATCGCGGTTTCATCGAGGTATAGTAAAGTACTCAATGGCTCGTTTATTCACCGAGCGTTAAATCAAATTGACTCGAGCTTAATGGTTGCGGGACAATATTGGATCGATTTAATGAACTCGGTGCAGTTGATTAGTTTTTTCTGCGTGGAGGGTGTAGGTTTATTTTTAGCCAAGACCAAAATTAGAAAGAATAAAGTATTGCGACCAGATTTACAAATCGCTAATGTGGCGCGGTCCAAAACGTAACCCTTTCGTCTTCGCGCCAAGAAGAGTGTGAGAAATCGTTTATGTATTTTTTAACGGATTTACACTATGAAATCAGATCGTTCCAGCAAGTTACAGATTCTAATTAAATCAAATTTCAAATTACTTTCTCAAAAGCAATTATCTCCTTTCGGGTTATACCGTGTATTTCGAAACACCCTGTGTGTACTTCTTAACTCTTCCTGGTTCGAAACTGGCTTTTTTTTCTCATTTTTCGGTTCAGTTCTTCCCATAGATGCTTAATCGGATGGAGTCTGGGGACTGTGTAGCAATTGCATGGGGAACATTGTAGATCAGTTGAACCATATTCAATTTATGCTTGGGGTCGTTGCCTTGATAAAAGTTGTAGTCGCTTCAAAGCATAAAAACTCTACTTTAATTGCATGTAAATACTAATGAAATTGAGTTGAGCAAATTAGATTCTCGTACATTAACACTTTTGTGGCTCATTGTACGTACGTGGCGGATACGTACAATGTGGAACCGAAATCTTTGAATAATTTAGGTCCAAGCCCGTGTTACAAGCACAACAATCGAAAGAAAAAACAGGTGGTCGGCGTTCTCAATATTATTTCGATCGATCGAACGAAACTAGAAAAACGAAAAGAATATTCGCGACGAAGTACAAGATCAGAATAGAAGATCGTTAAACAGTGGATATTCATTGAATATCAGGGTTCTCTGTGTTGAAATCAATTTAAGCGCGACAAGGCGCACGTGTAGTGCGTTCTGGCATAATCCGCTGGCGGCTTTGAACACACAGTGTGAGCGCCTCCTGGCGACCAGGGTAACGGGTGACGGATGATGGGTGACGGGTGGTCGTGCTCGGATCTGCTCGGATTGTCTTCGGTAGGGCGCGCGGAAGGATGCTTTTCTGGACCAAGAAGTGAGTGCGCGAGTGCTCGCGAGTACGAAAATTTTCGCGGTGCATATTAATTGCGAGATTGTTCCTTGTCGTTTGTCCGACCTAAACGTGTTGTCGAACCGTTCTTTTATCCTCGTCTCTCTCTTCGTTCGAGATACGTTGACAGTGGCTCGGGAGTCTCGTGACTATTGTTTTCTTTTCGAAACTGTTCGATCAACCGGGACTGCTATTGACGTCGTCGATGTGCACCGAAAACACGACATACCTATTGTCATTGCTTGCAACACGTTACCTGGCAGAATTTCGCAATGACGGCGACGAGGACGACGTCGTCGTCGATACACAGCCGCCTCTTTTGTCACGGATGATCGAACAACAGCACCTGTCGAGGTAAGGCGGTTCACGAGGTGCACCTAATGTTTAAGAGGTTCTCGATGAGGCTTACGTCGACGTCGCCGTCGTCGCCGCTGTCGTCGTCGTCGTCACCGTTGTTTTCGCCGTCATCGTTGCCACTGTACCTACCATCGTCACCGCCGCTATTGTTGTCGTTGCTGGTGCCGTCGCCGCTGCCGTTGACGCCGTCGTTATCGTTCCATTCGCCGTTGCCGTTGTCACCGACGTCGTTTTCATTACAGCCGCTGTCACCTTCATTCCGGTTATCTACGTCTTCGTGCTTGTTATTGTCAACATTGACATAAATAGCCTGCATCGCTTGCCATTGCCTCTACGTAAATCTGCTCGCAATATCGTTCAGGCAGGATGGCGGTTAACAAGATGACAGGCAGTGTCTTGCAATTTAGACCGATCGAGGTCTCCCAGCAGTTGCAGGATGGGGAAAAGTTTGTCAAGTGGGACGAGGTACGTGTTATAACCGAAGTATCATGAGATGGTTATAGCATAATTGAATTCCAGTTAGAAAAATCCAGTGTTATGTTGTGCATTATGTTATTATACAGGACTCTGGTATAGCAACTCCGGTAACATTGCGGGTGGATAAGTTGGGATTTTACCTGCATTGGGTAGATCAGCACAATGAAATGGAAATGTTGGATATCGCTACAATAAGAGACACTAGAACTGGAAAACATGCTAAGCTACCAAAGGTATCGAATTATGTTTTTCATACGTATAATGATGATACTTTGTAATTTTTTTTTCTTATCAAATATGGATAAGTCGATCTTTTGTGTAAAGCTATGGGAGAAGCTAGTCGAATGTAATGTTTTGTTGGTTCAGTGTATCATTGCGTATCGGATGTAAATGTTAGAACCAAAGGTGTCTTGGCTTTCTATAATTATATCATGCTTTTGCGTGGATGCTAATGACGCACTGCACCATCGCATGATAAGTATTGATAAATCTATTAATAGAATATTACCTAGTTTATGTCCTCAATGTAGTTCATTTTTTCTCAGTCACACCTATCTTTGTACACAATGGAAATAATCGTTGCGCAGAAAGGAGAGCAAATTCTTATCTGTCCATTTTCCTATAAATCAATATGCTGCTTATAAAGTGGCTTTGTGCATAGTTTCGCTTTGCATCAATAGCTTATTGTAACACAAGCTATTGTTAATATAATGTACATAATATAATTTTATGTATATAAACTTTACCGAGGTCATTGATTCAAAACTTGAAAGTTTGTTTCGAACGGGCTTATTTGAACAAAGGAATGGTTTTCAGGATCCTAAATTGAAATCTCTGGTAACGATGGGCTCTCAAGACTCTTTAGAGGAAAAGACAGTAACGATTTGTTACGGATCTGATTTTGTCAACATGAATTTTATCAACTTTTGTACAACACGTGCGGAAATTGCACAACATTGGACAGAGCAAATTTTTCAGCTTGCATATAATTTAACTCTGCTCAATACCAGCACAACTATGTTCTTGCAGAAAGCACATACCAAACTTACACTTACAGCAGATAAATCTGAAAAGATTCCTGCGAAGAAGTGAGCACAATTTGTATATATGTGTGTATTAAAATTAATATGCATATATACAGAAATGTGTATACTTTATATATTGTCGTTTCAGCATAATAAAAATGTTTGCGCAAAATAAAGAGGATCGTAAGCGTGTCGAGAAAGCGCTCGATATTTCAGGTTTTCCATCCGGAAAAGTGAGTGTGTTTTTTTTCGAAAATATCAGATGCAAATATGATTTTTCGTGCACTTGACAATTTCATTACTCTCGTTTTCAGAACGACGTAATATCGTTGCAAAAATTTCAATTCGAAGACTTCTTCAACTTTTATAAATCACTTACTCAGCGGTCGGACGTTGAGAAAGTTTTCGAAAGCATTGTAGGCAATAACAAACGTAGATTAATGTCCATTACACAGTTCGTTGACTTTTTGAACAAAACGCAAAGGGATCCACGTCTGAACGAAATATTGTACCCTTATGCGAACGAAGCGAGGGCAAAAGATATTATAAGTCAATACGAACCAAATAAATATAATGCGAATCCGGACCATCTGAGTTTCGATGGTTTTCTGAGGTACTTGATGAGCGAGGATAATCCGATCGTTGCTGTAACAAAACTCGAATTGTCGGATGATATGGACCAACCGCTTGCGCATTACTTCATAAATTCTAGTCACAATACATACTTAACAGGTCCGTAGGCTTTGCCAATCTCGTCTTATCGCGCAGACAAATCAAACCGTGTCCAACGTTTTCCTAATATATTTCTAGGACATCAAATTACCGGAAAGAGTTCCGTAGAAATATATCGTCAGTGTCTGCTTGCCGGTTGTCGATGCGTGGAATTGGACTTCTGGAATGGAAAATTTGACGAACCTGTTATTGTTCATGGGTACCGGCTTTACGAAAAAATTCTATTTTAATATATGTAAATTTTTATCATTGCTACCTTACGTAGAAACAAATATATCTTTCAGATATACATTTGTACCTGAAATTTACGCGCGAGACGTGATCGAGGCGATTGCTGAAAGCGCGTTCAAAACGTCAGAGTATCCTGTCATCCTTAGTTTTGAAAATCATTGTAACCCAAGGCAACAAGCTAAGATAGCACAGTATTGCAGGGAATTTTTTGGTGAAATGTTACTTGATGCACCACTCGAATCTCATAAGGTATTTTACAACATGGTCATAGCCGATATCGTTCGTGACATTGAAGTTCGCGGATTAAAATGTGTTGATTGTTCAGCTGGAGCCTGGTCAAGAGTTACCACCTCCGAATTTACTCAAACGTAAGATCATAATTAAAAACAAGAAGAAGCATCATCATCATCACAAGAAGCATAAAAAGAAGCAGCAAACGCCGGCGGCGGAGTCTGAAGAGGGAGTCCAAGAAAGCGAAGACAACGGAGTGATAAATCAGGCCGTTGAAGAAGAAAACGGTTCAGCACCGGACGTTCCTAACGCCGAAGATGATAATAACGATCAGCAAATTGGGAATGGAGATATTTCGCATCCCCCGATGCTGCAACAAAGACAGGGTAGCAAAGACAGTGCTCAAGACGACGATGGTTAGTATTCGGGAAGTAAACGGGCGCGAACGAGAACGAAGAGTTCTATCCAAAATATTTACGATTTTAGAAGACGAAGAGGAATCGAGTACGGAAGAGGACGAATCGAACGTCGAGGATATTAAATTAAGAATGGGCGATAAAGTGCCTGCACCCGATAAAGCAGCCAGTGCTAAAGAAACGGAAGCGGGAGCGGAAATTTCAGCATTAGTCAATTATGTGCAACCCGTTCATTTTTACAGTTTTGAATCGGCCGAAAGTACGTTTGTTTACGACACCAATTATTACATATTTTTTTTTTTCATTTATTTATGTTACACTGTACCATAATTTTATCGATATCCGCAGAAAAAAATCGTATGTACGAGATGTCGTCGTTCGACGAAAAACAAGCTACGACTCTTTTAAAGGAAAGGCCGTTAGAATTCGTAAATTATAACAAGCATCAGCTATCGAGAGTATATCCAGCGGGTACACGTTTTGACTCTAGTAATTTTATGCCTCAAGTATTTTGGAATGCGGGTTGTCAGCTGGTCGCATTAAATTATCAAACTCTTGGTACGCTGACATTTCCATCGATTCTATTAATTATTCCTGCGTTGTGCGGGAGGTAATCTCTTTGACTTTGTTTTTTTTTGTTAGACCTCGCGATGCAATTGAACTTGGGTACTTTCGAGTATAATCAACGTTGCGGGTATCTTTTGAAGCCGGAATTTATGAGGCGAAGAGACCGGCGATTGGACCCTTTTGCAGAGTCGACGGTAGATGGTATCATAGCCGGAACGGTTCACATACACGTGATATCAGCTCAGTTTTTAACAGACAAAAGAGTGGGTACTTATGTCGAGGTAGACATGTACGGTTTACCGGCGGACACCGTGAGAAAGAAATTCCGCACGAGAATTGTTCCGAACAATGGTATCAATCCCGTATTCGACGAGGAACCTTTTATATTTAAAAAGGTGAAGTTCGACGTCGATTTCCGTCAACAAACAGAACACCCTGTTTATGTAATAAAATGTTTATCTGTTTATCAGGTCGTATTACCAGAACTCGCAGCAATTAGAATCGCCGCGTACGAGGAATCGGGGCGTTTAATCGGCCACAGGGTGTTACCAGTAGTTGGACTGTGTCCAGGGTATCGACACGTTGCTCTCAGAACAGAGTGCGGCCAACCGTTGCCGTTGGCCAGTTTGTTTTTACACGTTATCGTGAAGGATTATGTTCCGGACGGGCTGAGCGAACTCGCCGAAGCCCTGTCGAATCCGATCAAATATCAGAGCGAAGTTGACAAAAGGGAGAAGCAGTTGTCCGTTCTTACGGATTGTTTGGAAGACCCGTCGGAAGAAGTCGATGTAAGGTTTGAAACGTTGAGAGATTATTGTTTACTAACTGTGTGACACACTAACAGGCGCGTACTAACATTTTCTAGGATAAGCCGAAAGTTAGCGAAGCTGCAAGTTCCTCTAAGCCACCTGTAAGTTCGTCGGTTGAAGGCCGCCGATCGACCCGAGCAAATTTATACTTACGTGTCCACGAATATTTTGTTTCAGGAGGAAACCATTAAAACGAAGAGGTTGCAATCCGTGGGCGAGTTGCCGATGCTCGTTCCAACTTCTACCAACGTGCACGGCAGACCATCGATCGCTGGCGTGAACACTTCCGATGCTCAGGACGCTGAAGAGGGAACGCCAGCTCCTGCGGTTCCAGCCGTCGATTCCTCCGCGAATAAAAGCCCGGTGAACGCCAGCAGCGGTAAGTGTATTACAGTCGATTGCATCGCGAGCGAACGTTAGCGTCTATTCCGTATTTATAGCGAGCGATGAAATAGTGGCGGAGTCTTTAGAAAAGTTAATGGAGAACAAGCTTGTCAGGGAGAAAAAGGTAGAGCTAGAAAAGAAGCTCGAATCGTTGCGGAAAAAGCACGAGAAAGAGAAATTGAGGATGCAATCGCAGAAGGGCTCGATCGACGGTGAGAAACACAGGTCGAAGTTTTACGTGAGCAACAAGTTGGTGAAACGACTGTCGAGTAGAAATATGTAAGTTATAAACCCTTGTTGAAACGGCTTCCCGCATACACGTTCCTCGCGTATAAATTTGTGGTTATCGTGCAGCTTCTCCAGCGAGGTGGGTTTGAGCTCGATAGCCGCAGAGCCATCCGATTGCCCGGATTTGGAGAACCGCGATGGGAACGGTGGAGCACCAAAAGGACTGCCTAGAAGCCAGAGCGAACGTTTACTGGCCGTGTGCAAAGCTCACGTTCAACAGGAACGCGATCTTCAAGAGAAGTATTACGAGAACCTGTTCGTGACGGTCGAGAAGGTGATGAAAACCTCACAGTCTAACCAAATAAAGTCATTGAGAGTGCTCTTGGAGCGTGAGACTGCAGATGTTATGAGGAAACTTCAGGCTACGAGGCACGGAGAGGTGTGTTTTCTCCTACTAATATTAGGCGTTCCAAGAAGCAGCTTTCATTTGCAAACCGCTAGTGTTTGGTATTCCGCTCGTTATAGCGTTAAGTTTGTTCGCGTTTGATTGTAGGTGAAACAGTTGGCGAAGGTACACAAAGACAAAGCAGAGTTTGATCGCATGAAGAGAGAGGTCGCAAAGTCAACTGTAGAGAAGGGCGTGAACGAGTGCACTCGACTGGCTAAAATTTACGAGAAGAAGCGCACGGAGCTTGAACGGCAGCACGAGGAGGTCAGGCAAAGGCTCGAAGAGGAAAGAACCAAGGTTCGGGAATCCATCGCCTCGCACACGCGTTCTAAATTTGTCCCCAATTACTCGGGCTCTCCTATCGTTTGTGTTTCAGGTGAAAGAGTCCCTGATGGCGGAGTACAGCAGTCGATGCAGCAAGTACGAGAGCGGAGAGTTGTCTCTGTCGCCATCCGGCGGTACCAGTATGCCGGAATCGCTCAGCGGGAATACGTATTGACTCAATCGATCGTCGACTTAGCATTGCAAGTCTCGAAGTGACATAGTTATCACGGATTCGCAGATCCACGGCGGTAAATGATTTTTTACCGGGGTGCGTGTCCGGTTCGTGAAGATGATAAAATAGCGGAATTGCGCGTTACTTCTCCGGAAAAGAGGAGCCGTGTAACGACAACGGTAGGGAATTGGTGAAGTCTACGCTGTTACCTGTGTTTTGCTAACGTAATTTTATCCACTTCCGTGAAAGTCTTTTTTGCAAATGTGTACAGCAGCATTTACGAGGGTGGTATCTGCGAGGATTCCAGACGAGCAGAACTCGTCTGCCCGCGAAGCATTTGACAAACGTCTAGCGCGCGCAAGGAATTACATTTTTGGAATGACATATATCGATACGACGACGAGCAGCGTTGCAACTATCTACTGTAGGTACGTACGTGCGAATCTGTGGATATTATCGTGTATTAACTGTTTCGAAGGGTTACGAACTCGCGTAACGCGTTTTAAGACGATTCTCCTATTTACTCGGAAGATCTTAACTTCTTGGAAAATCGATGATACCGTGGGTCGGTCGATTACTTCGATCGATCGTTTTGATCTCAACACGAACGATATGGCGCGCGTTGCGTTCGAAAGAAAGTTAAATGGGGCAGAAAGCGAACAAGTTCGCTCGAGTTTGTTTCTTTTCGATTATCGATATTACTTTTTACGCACAGTATTAAACGCACCTGTTTTTCTCATTACGCTCAAAACGTCACCGCCAGTGTCGAGATTTCCGTTACGTTCTCGGAGTTTTTTTTTCCTTTTTTTTTTTTTTTATTAACGAAAACTTCGGAAAGGCGCGAATGTGAACGATCACGCGGAAGAGGTACACGATTCTAAATAAGAAAATAATCTTTCTAAGTGCTACTATTTAATCTTGTTATTATATGTATAAGGCGTTATTTAATTAGCGAAACGATGAACTGAGTCGCGCGTTCCAAAAAAAAGAAAATAAACAAAAAAAGATATTATACTCGTAACGTTGCAGGAATCGATCGATCGCTACATAATAATCGGACCTCAGGAAACACGAAACGTGAGAGAGGGAGAGTGTGAGAGAGTGTGAGAGAAATGCAGTACGCCGAGGTGAGGATGAAATCTCTTTTTTTGGCCTAGTGGATAAGTGACGCGTTGAGGTCTGGTCTGGGTTGGGCGCGTGCGTGATCTGATATATTTTCTGACTGAAAGTACTCCGTATAAAGACATTTTTTCGATACGTTAGCCTGTATCTATAACGCTAAAGAGTTCGTATTGTATAAAGAAAGCAAACCAAAAAAACAAAAAAACGAGGAAATATTAACGGGAACGTTTCCAGCGTTTTTGTACCGGGGTTTTCGGGCCGCGGCCGTGTTCGCGGCCGAAGCGATTACTGATTTGGAGCGAGCCTCTTTCTAGGAAGACAATCAAAAAAAAATGTTACGTCGGTAACATTGTCCTTGTTGTTTCTAATCGTACGATATTTTAAGCAACTCGATATTACACACACATATATATACATATATATATATAAAATCTAAAAAAAATAAAATACGTACATACATGTTCGTAAGCATGTATGTACGCATTCTTATTAGTTATTACAAGTTTAGGATTAAAAGTTATCTGCGCATTGTAAATCTCTCTCGTGTGGTCCATCCCATTATTTATTTCGTAAACAAGTCCCGCCGAGGCGGGCGGGAGGTATCCGAGGATCGCGAGCTTTTTGCAAAGTACGACAGATTTTAGCGACTCGGGCTCACCGACGAGACTACACACGTATATATGCGTATACGCACACAGGCACACGTCATACATGCACACACACACGCGCAACTAGGCGAGGAGCATAATCGTTATCAACGCGAGGGATAAGCGTTACCTTTGCTATCGCGAAGGTACTCCAAAATATGTTGTGCAATCGAAAAGTAGATGATTTCTCTCGGAACGAAAAAACAAACACATGGTCGTGGGTGAAATTTATATAAAGTGTGTAGGAATAGCAATTTATGACTGGCGACGAGCACCACTGGTTGGTCGACTGATTAATTAAAAACAGTCATTTACGACAGGTAGTTAAAAAAGTTTTTTTTTTGTTTTCGAGAGCGATCATCCGTCTTTGGCTTCTATCGCGATATTTTTGGGCGTCCTGACTACTGTCGTTTACGTTGCGTCGAGGGATTACGCTCAGATTAATTCCCTTCGATTTGGAGACTGAATTCGATCCTGAGTCGTTGATAAACTATTGTCCATCGTTGGATAGTTTTACGGTCGTTGCTTTATTTATTTAAGAATAGGCGTTTTTTATATGACGATGTTCATGGTCCCGCGTGTCTTGGCAATGTATAAGAGCGAGATAGCGCGATCCACGTAGGGTCTCTTCCGTTTCAAACTTCCTGTCGCCGCGTAAATGTCCGAGGCTGTAACAGAGTTTCTGGAGGCATTCGAAAATGGAAATAGTTTTCGATAACTTCGCTTTTGAGAACAGAATTTTTGTCGACGTGGAACCACGATTAATTCGAACTGAATAACGGGGGAAAAAAAGAAGATATTAACTCTAGAATTATCGTACATTTACGTGTCCGACTCGAAGGGATAACTTAGCGTTAGATAGTAGAAGTTTCCGCTTCCAAACATAGTTCTAGGCGTCACGACGAGTTACCATTTCGTTTCCTTTTAGTTCCGGCGCCTCGATTAATCGCGAACGCATTTTCCCCGCGAGTTACCATTTATTCCCCACCATGAACGAGAACAGACGCAAAAAGCTATTGTACATTGCGGTGTACTCGTTCGACGAGAACACTCACCGGGATGAAACAGTGATAATCTGTAGACGATGAGATATATATATGTATAACGTACACGTATAAGCGGGTACATTTAATTAGCAACGGTAGTCGTGCTGGACTACCTTCGGCGTTCAAACGCGAGAGAAATCAATACATTATAGTACATTATGCTAAGTCGTACGAGATTATCGGATGTTTATTTATATATGTATTTATGTATATATATATATACGTACGTATGTACAAGGCGATTCTTACAACGAATCTACGCGATCAGTCTGCGGAGGAAAAGTCACGCATGAGGTGATTTGAAAATCGAGTCTTCGTCTATCTTTTTGATTAATTTTTTTATTCGAGGAAATTACGGTAACGTACGTCTTTCGTTAAATCGATGGATCGTCTGTTAAGAATCGCTCTGTACGTACAAATATACGTCAATGCACATGTTCGTATACATATTGCGCGCGTGTTGATGTTTTTTCCGGATCGTTTAGTCGTAACGATTCCTCGCTTGCGCCGCGACACCGTAAAAACGTGAAATATCTCGCGTATTTCCGGTATCGCGGCGCACGCGAATTCTTCCAACGCTTCGTAGCCGAGAGCGAAACGTTTACGAACAATCGGACTGTGAGATCTGTTCCTCGATTAGCCCACGCTGCGTATGCTCTTTGTTTCGTTCGAGCGGGGAGAAAAATTGCACGCGACGACGGTCGAGCAAACCTTTTTTTCGTCGACCGTCGTTTACAGGGTTCGCGTTCAAGGTTTCCTTTCGACCGTTTCATTCTTCTCCGCGCGTTTTGCCGCACGAACGTCGCGTATTCGCTCAGGACGAAGCGTCGTTTCGTCCTCTTCCTATATTCCTGTAATATACATACCGCGTTCACGCGCGTGCGCTCTCGAAAGCCGTTCAAACGTATTTGGTTACTCTGCGTTATGTATATTACACACGTGTACCTAACGTATAAACGTAAAGACTAGGTTACGAGGACAGATATTATATATATTCACGTTGATATTATGTGTTGTTGTTGTTGATGTTGTTAACGGTAGAGTAGCGAAAATAAGGTGGCAGTAATAGCGTAGTCGTTGTTCGTAGGATTAATTGCGAGACTAAATTCGTTACTTGTACGTCGCGAGTAATGTCGCGTGTTTCGTTATGGCGGCTAGCTTTGCAACGATCCGTGCGTTCCAAAGCCACGTTTCCACGGTGGGCTCCTTCGTCTTCGAGTGTTTTCTCGTAACGTCTATGTTGTTGCAATCTATAGAGTGTATACAGTCTCTGACTATCTAAGCATTGATATTATATAGGCAAGATGTATTCTTGTATTATTTCTGGTATGCTATGTATACACGGTTCTGTCATGTTTTTTATATCTGCTATTTTGTTAAATGTCTGTAATCTTTACTTCCAAATCGGCTACTGTAGTATTTGGGGATAAGTTCTTCGAGGACAAGTTTATGGTGGATTTTGACTCGTGATACGGTGCCACGTATTGCACATAATACTCTATGTGGCTCAGAATGGCAGTAAAACATAAACCAGCCGTTCTGTATACATAGTCATTTTAGTATGCAATAAAAACACAAGGATTATAGTTAGGTTGGCTCTAATTCGATGGCCAGGGACTGTACATAGACGTCGAAACTGTAACGCGTATATAGTTTGGTCCACGGTGGACAATTCGCAGGCACCCTTAGCTTCGGTGCAGACGAGCGACTTTTCAACGCAGGATAAATATCATATTTTCTTAACACTTTAACAGTGGAAGTTCCCCAACTGTATTTGGACCCGATATTTAAAAATTTAGCATTTTATAAACATTATTGTTTGATATATTCGAGAGCTTAGAATTCTTGAAAGTTTCGAGTCTTGAATCTCTTCTTTCTTTACTCTCTATCCTTCCCTATGTTCGAGCCAACTCCTATCGAAACTCTAAACATTCCCAAATCTATCGAGACCGCCGAGCTTCAAGATATTCATGACTTTCGAAGAGTTCTGAGCGTCGAAACAGCAAAGTGTCGATCGAAAGGAAAAGAAAAAGAAGCACTCGTGCGGTAAAAATTCGCTCGCCTGCGCCGTTTTAACGGTAAAAGCATCACCGGGAGTTTCCGTTGGATGCCACTGGCTGAAACTTATCGCGCGAAATTTGCCAATTTGCTGCGAATCGCGAGAGATACAATAACGGATAGGGACGCGGTATCGTAAGTTGTAACGTAGTATTGAAACGGCCTATCGACGATCGTAACGGTCTGGCGTCGCTCACGTTCCTCTCGACATTGTTTTCGCGCGTTTCCGAAGGGACGTTTCCGGTTCTCTTCCGGGGAGATTTCCGCTGGCGAGCGCGCGTTCAACGCGCACGCGATCGTGCGTTCCTCTCCGCGTTTCAACGAAGAGTTTTCCTCCAAAGAATCACCGTCGAGACTCTTCGTTGGACGTCGGACATCTTGATTCCTCCCGGGCGCTCGAGAGACGCCGAACTCAATATTCACCGAAACAGTATTGTAATATTTCCTGTCTCCTCTTGGCCGCGTAACGTTATTGTAAAACGCTGAGATCGGAGTTTATAACATAAATATCGTGGCATGAAACGCGGTGGTAGCGTATCTCGAGCGTCCCAGCGGGGATCGAGCTTTACGGATTTAAATCTCGCGCGTCCTTTTTCGTACCCCGTTGATTCTTTGGCTTCCGCGCGACAGGGACACCTCTCCTTGTAACAACGATTCTTCGTACCTGACTCGATTCGTCTGTCGATCCAAACGTTTCCTCCGAACCGAATCGAACGAACGCGCCGCGCGAGAGAAAGAAGAGTATTTCTTCCTCTCCCGGGCGACTCGTTCGTTTCGGGATCGTCAGCTGTCAATTCTTCGATGCTTCGAATATACTCGTCGATGTTAAATGTGATTTTTCTAGCGAACTTCGTGCGCTCGTCGTTTTTTCTTACGCGCGTTCTCTTGGTGTCGTTTCCGTTCGCCATCGACCGCGGTGGCAGGCCGCTTCCGCGTTTACTTTTGTCCGCGAGACGTCTTTGTTCGCTGTCGCTCAACGACGCTAGTCCGATAACCGACGAGAAAGAAGGCTAATTCGACAAACGATCGATAAATTTAACGGTGCAACGTGCAATGATCTTTGTACGATCATCGTTGACGCGATCGTTTCGAACGATTATTGCGGAAGTGGCCGCGAGGGCGTCGAGCTTGTTGTGTTTCCGACGTTTCTATAGTCGTGTATAGAGTCTTGCCAAGTATTCAGAGTTCTTGCCTTCCATTGGAACGTGATTCTTTCCATCGTTCGATCGCGGGGACACGGAGCGTAACCGGCGATCGACGCGAGTCGTTCGTATTAGGCGCGTACACGCGTGTATATATATATATATTTTTTTTCTTCCCATTTACGTGGTTTATTCTTCGAAGCTGTACGAGCTAAATTTATTGTTCCCTTCGTATCGCGTAAGAAGCAGCGGTATCGATCCGAGCGGGAATATTTACGGACGATTAGTAACGCTTCATCCGTTTGTCCCGCGAGGCGCGTTCGCGTTTCTCCTCTGCAAATTAGAACGACGCGTCGCAGTTTGTTTTCCCTCGGCTTCCATCGCCACGGTCGATTCCTTCGTTCGTCACGCAACACACCAGAGAAAATTAAGGGTTTCGTCCTTTCATCGTTCACGAGCCGCTTGTTCTTTCTCGCTCGCTCGGACGGTTTATTGTTAATTGCCCGTACAAAACCGCGCTCACCTATTAGCCGTAATTTACGAGTCGCGTCCACATTAGATCGACCGACAGCGAATTTATTCGTTGTAACGTTCCCAAGATTTTCCGCCGATACATATTTTACGTAATTTTAAACGCCTCGGACCGCCGTCCGCCAATTGATTTAGCGCGGCAGTAATAATTTCCCACGTCGGGCAGCTCCTTTTTCTTCGTCGCGGTACAGTTACTCGATTTAATATTCGGACAAACTTCGAAATTAATCTAACCTTTGCTCGTTAATTCCACCATATTTTTTTTTTGTTATAGGCCACGATGGAGACAAGCTTTCACGTTTCAATATTTTCTTGGATGTCCCTATCGTCTAAGAACATCTACGTGTCGGTGTGTTTAAAATAATTTTTCATCAATTTTCGGTCGCATTTAAATCTGACGACTGTGGCACTTTTCCACGGTACACCCGTATTCGTTGCACGTTTTATTAAAGTTCGTTTCGATACGAATATTTGTTCATGCGCGAAATTCAATCAAGCTTCCGCCATGTTTCACGGTCGGTTTGACGTTATTTGTTATTGTTGAGACGGTTCGCGCCACGTTTGTTTTTGTTAGCAAAGATCGTATCGACTGCGATCGTGCTTTAGAAATAAATTCTTTGTTCGTGGCTTTCTCCGAGCCGCTCTGCCGTTAGAGCATCTTTTAAAACATTTAAGAACCGTGTCCACCTGTATATAATTCATTTTATTAGACGAAACGTTCTAAAATATCGAACGTCCTATCGTTTTGTCCGGCACTGTACAATAATGAGTTTTAGGAATATACTTGGGTAAGGTCGAACAGGTGTCAGGGTTGATTGGACGCTCGTGTGACGAGTTAGGGACAAAACTTAAAACATACAATTACCCTTACGATTAACGATGACTTCGACCATTATTTCGAACCCTGATGCAAACTCTCTGACTATACTTTTCCGGTATAGTTTTACCGTGTAACCAGAGGATCGGTTGTACAATTAAAATTTACATTTCTTTATTAAAATACAATCAGCTACGAATTTCAGACATCGGTATTTCGACTTTCGTTCGTTTCTCGTCACACTGCGTCGTTTCGAAACGCGGATTCCCGTCGAAACGTCGACGGGGTTTCCGTCGTCTTCGCTTTCTTCTGCCATTAAACCGCGCGTTCCGCGCGATCGACGTGTCCTCGCGATCCACGCCAGGACGTCTTAGCAACTGGTCCTCGCTATCGGCGAACTGGCACGGAGCATCCGTAAAGATAAGAATTTTTTGAGCCGTTTTTTACATATACTTCCGCCATCCTATCGGCGTCGCGAGATCTCGCGCGAAACGACCTTTCGATGCGTTCCCCTTTGGACTGTTTTCGTACGTTTCGGAGTATTTTTCGATTTCGACGCATTTACATTGTTTCGCTTTGAACATAGATCTGTGTTAGATGTACCCGGGGACGACGTAGAAGACCGCGCGGAGCCGAGCAAAACGGCCGTTGGTCCCGGTTCGCGAAGCGCCGGTCGAATTCTTCCGAGTTGCTTTTCCGTTTTAGGGTTTCGGTATCGCTTTCCGTTGAAAAGAACCGACCAGAACGTTCCGAACGTACGCGGTGGAATACACCGTTTACGACCTTGTCGTTTGGAACGTTTCGTGGGAATTGTGATCGCGTTGCTCGGACCTCGAGGAAGCGTCTTAGTACCGAAACCGATCGATGTCGACGGTTCTCGGACCGTCTTATAAACTTGGGTGTATTTTTTAGAAAGAAGCGTTAGACAACAAAAGAAAAAAAAAAGAAATTGTTACTCCCTGTATATGGTTACCGTAAGCACCGCAAACAGATCCACCTATTACCCATACGACGATATATGAGTTTTAACGATATTCTATAAATGGCTGTACCGTATTGTAAAATCAAAGATATATAGTGTATAATAAAGTTTTAGTGGCGTAGAACCGACGCTGATGGTGTTCCTTCTTCTCTCTTGATTATGAATTATTTCGGTGATTATAGGTTTTTGAGTTATAATAACGTACAGCTATTACGAACGCATATGCATACGTTTATTTTATTCAATTTTCTTACAAAGATCGATGAAACTTTTTTGTCCGCTTAGTCGCCTGGATTTGAACTGTGCTCCTTTATAATATTATATTTTACAACGTTGTTACCAACTGTTTATTTTGTTTTTAAATTTGCATCGGTTTCCTGTTGCAATCGCCACGATAAAATAATATCGTTCTTACGGTCAAAATGTTTACGCTAAAATATTTGCGACGTTCGGATTATTTAATAATTATTGCACGCGGTTGAAAAATTATTACCGAATTTACGGATCAAGGAAATGATTGCACCGTCGAATATTTTCGAATGTAACGATAAAACATTATCAATACGTGCCTCGACGTTGCATTGCTATAAATGGACCTTGCTCGTTTCCTTGTTTCCTTGTTCGTTTCTTCGAATCTGTGGCGACTCATTCAACGCGCATCGGACGGTTTTTTTATGTACGCGACTAGAAGTTGATATCTGTTCAATATTCCTAGTTCTTTCTGGTCGCTGTAGTCCTTCTTCGAGAACTGAATCTTCATGGTTGCCATTTCGCGCATCAACGCGTCCATGAATTCTTCTTGGAGGTCCTGATCAGGGAACCGCGAAACGAAGGGGTTGATCGGGGTCACGTGATCTGTAAGAACGATACATTATCGCAAAGTAGCTCGTTGCAACGCGTTCTTCATATTGTTAAAACAATTTGGTATCACAGAATAGTTCTCAAGCGATTCGATTTGGAAACAGAGTGCTTTAAAAATTAAAAATTTCTGTCCTGGACCGTGTAGCATGAGTTTGTACCTTTCAGCGTTTGCGTGTTCTGGAAAATGCAGCTCCTCTCGCGCCTGCTGCAGTGCTGGATCTCGAAACCGATGTCCTCCAGGAGCGTCCTCAAGGCGGCCCTGGGGTCCTTGCATCGGTGGAAGTACGGCACGAAACGATCCACGTCCTGGACAACAGGGTAAGCAAATGAACGATTACGAATTCGAGGGTAGGAAACTTTCGAGACGGATTCGCAACCTGCATGTACGGTTTATATCGCGGATTCTCGTGCAGCTTCTCGTAAGCGTTGAAAATCTCCGTCGATGCCGGGAACATGGTCAAGGCCGTTCCACCAGGTCGTAGCAACTTCCACACGTTCTCGAAAGTCCGTCTAAATTTGGCACAAAAACAATCAATTTATAAATTTCTCTACGATCGTACGTAATTCGATTTCTTCCCATCTTTTCAGTCAATTTTCTGTTCATCCTAAACTGCACTTCCTCTACTACTTTCGATCGCGAGGAAAATTAAACGAGATATACCCCGTGTTGTGGCACCAGTGAAAACAGAAGAATGAGAACAGGTTGTTGTATTGGCCGACGTGCTCGTTCGGCAGTTCCTCGGTTTGAATGTCCAGGTACGTGAACGACAATCGTTTCTCGTCCCGGTACTTGTCCCTCGCGTAATCGATCATCGGTTTCGATATATCCGCCCCTGCAAGCATACGTTACGAACAGTTGTTTCGATCGACCAGCGATTCTCTCGGTTCCCTTACCGACCACTTCGACCCCCGAGGGCAGTTTCGGCAACAATAATCTCTTGGTGACCTCGCCGGGGCCGCATCCTACGTCGATGCACTTGCCCTTGGTCTCCGATATCTCTTTATCGAATTCCTCGATTACATCCATCGCGTCCTGATACTGGACCTTGCTCGCGTTCACGTACTCCTCGACCATAAACATCTTCGACGCGTTTCTATCGATCCCGTCGCGGCGCTCGGACGCCTCGAGATCACGGAACAACGAAACAGGAAGTGGTAACGATCGAGAGAGTCCGTGGCTCGCGTCGGATCCTCCACTGGTAACTTACAACCTCCACTTTGGTATTTATATTCGGCTACTCGTACAAACTTTTCTCGCATCGCACGGTTATCCCCTCCCCGTACGTGTTTCGTACATTTTTCCTCTTCCTCCGCTGTCTCTCGAACAATCCTCCCCTCCCCTTTCCCGTCCCCTGTCGTCTTTCTGTCCGTGACCACCTCAATATCCGAATTCTTCGTCGGTCAGGTCATAGCCCGATGGTCACGTTCGGAAGTTCAACGACCTCGTCGATAGAGAAGAACGAACCAGTCGGCGTCCCAATTCGATCGGGCCCGATTACAAATTCCACGCGTTGTTCCTCCGGGCCCCCCTTTTTCCATCGTAAGTTCACGCGATATCTCCTAAACTGTCAACGTCTTCGATGGATGGGAGACCAAAGGGAAAGGGTCGTTGATTCTTGCCTTTTAAAGGGAACGAAACACGCAAAATGCATCTCTTTCTAGTCGCATCACTTTGATAACAATTTGTATATTCTGTTTTAGTGAACGACGAAGAAAATTATTTGACTGTGGTTTTAAAAATATAAACAGGTTGCTGAGAAAGAGTTACCAGTCAAAAGAATTTTATAAATGTTCTGCAAGCAAGTGTATAAAAATAAGTCGACGTCCAAGGTAGAGGCTACCCGTTTCCGCGATATATTCTGAAGTTTTTCAATATTGAGAATCATCCCTTAGCCGCGTCAGCTTTTGCTTTGACGACGAGAACCGGACGCGCGGGGTTGTCGTTTAAATGTTTAACTTATTACACGCGACGTTTCCAACGACAGCAGCTGTTTCGGCGATGCTCCTTCCATTCGCGACACCGTCTCGCAAATATTTACCTGGACGTCGGAGGGGCCTTCGCCGCTCCTACGCGGCTGATCGTTAAGGCGTCGTTAGGAAATTGAACCGTCAGCGTCGACTGTCGCGGCGCAAACATTGTATTTTTCGCTCGATTAAAAGCCGCCCTCGTTATCCCGACGGTTGTTCCCCGTTCTATATATTCTCTTTTCGCCTCGGTGCCGTATTTACACGCGTTGTTCACGCGGCTCTCGTTATTTTTATATTCCGCGTCCTTTCGCGCCGCCTAGCGTGATTAATAAATTAAACTGGAGCGCGACAGTTTTTTATTCCAATCGCGAACGATCGTCGTGCTCGATCGAAGGGAGGAGTCTGCCTGGAGCCCCTTTGGCGCCCGTTATCTTCCGTACGCCACGTATTTGCGTTTAGGGACGTATTTGCATATGCGCGGACACACGTTTCAACCCCCCTCCCACCCCCGTACACCCACCAGAGAGGACACAAACACACGGGGGCCACTTTCTTAATCAAACAGGTCGACCATCGAACCGATCCCCCTTATCGTCTTCGGGTCTAATCTTCTAGTCGCTGGATTTCGAGCCTAGGTCGCCACAACTTTCCACTTTCACACAGAGTCGTAAATATAATTAACCCCCTGGCGTACAATGACGACTCTGACTCGTGATCAACACACTTTTGCTTTCACGAGATATTCGTAAAACGAATCTATTCTTTTTCGTGGCCATTCCTTGTCCAAACAAATTTAAACAAAATTAAATAGTATACGTTTGAAAAATTGCATTGGATCGTACGTTAAGGGGTTAAATGTGATTCGATTTTTATAAGATCGCCAGGAGAATATTTTCGATATCGATAATTTGAAGTTACATTAGCGCTGGAATGAATTTCATCGCGAGTGGCCATAATTTTCTTTGCAAGAGGCATTTGGTTCTCGGTACGTGTGACTTTGCAAAGACGTCCATTTCGAATCGGCTCCGTGGCTGGCCGCGTAGAAATTATTTATGAAAGCCGTTGGTGGGTTGACCCGTTTCACCTATACCACCTTCGTTCCTTTTACCACCTTGAGCACACAAACTAACGCGATATGTGGTCTCTTTCGACGTAGGCCAACAAAAGCGCGTGACGCGCGTCCCTGGCTTCCGGAGTTTATGCAGTCGAGCGTGTGCTCGTCTAGGCCGTGGATAATCGTCGCGATTCCGCGTCGGATTTTGCGCCCCTAGAATCCTATTTCGCGATGGACCGACGCCCGGAATGGGATCGAGGGACAGAGAGACCGAAGAGACGAAGAAAGCCGGGGGAATAGCGCCACAGCATGGCGGCAGGTGATGGCCGAAAGGGTCGCGAGGGGTGGAGGACGAGGCGGTTTGGAGGAGGAGAAGGAAGATGGATGCGAAACTCGCGAGGCAATGATAGATAGAGACCGCCTCTGCCTCGCGACCTCTCGCACCTTTTCTTCGGGAGCATCTTCTATCAGTGCCGGCCCGTACTCTTCCGTTACCCTGGATTTTTTTACCACCGTTAACGAACGGACCTGCCAAACAGCGGGCCAGAACCTGGCCAAGACGCTAAGAGCGTAGCAACAACGTTTCGAACTCTATATCGCGATTTCTAGGGATCGTTGGTCACCAATCCTCGATCCAATCCACACTGTTTTTGTTCATACTGTAGGGGGGAAAAATGGGCACCAGGATATCGATAATTCAATTTATTTATTTGGTAGCAGCGAGTCAAGGATACGGTTCTTCTACAAACGTTGGTTAACTACTGTTCATGGTGTCAGTAACTTTTTAGGTATATCAAATGAACAGTACTCCAATCTCAAAATTCTTTCTAAACTCTTCAAGGGTAGGTGGGTTAAAAACTGTCCCACCTTTGGCTTAGCTTTTAATCCTACATCAAAAAGTTGATATGCATTCTTTAGAAAAATCGTGCACCTCAAAGAGTTAGCCGTGTAATTGTTTTTTAACCCCAAAGTGGGCGTTTGCGTTTTATCAGGGGGTTCCAGTATCCGTGTAATCGTCCCTGGAACACATCTCGAGTAACGTTGGTCCTTTTTCTGGCGCATCCGTCTCGTCTCTCTTTGCCTAAATCCTCGCCTAGGTCCGTGCGTATCGAACGAAGGAGGCGCGCCCCGGAGAGAACGAGAAGGGCTTTGATAAATGACTGACGCGGAAAAAAATCCGCGTCGATACGTCTTGCTCGAGAAGACGCGCGCTCGTTGAACGGAGGAAGGTGGAACGGAGGGAGGAAATGCACGATCGCGCAAAAATCCCGCAGGATTTTAATCCGGAGGATGAACCGCCTCCGTAATTCTAGAGATAGCTAGCAGAATTTCTTCGCCGGCGAAAAATTACGTGTCCCACCAGGTGTATTAGATCCGAGCCAGGTTCCTTCGACGCGTTAAAATTGATCAACACACTCCGATCGTTTCCTTCACGATCACTGTTCGTGTTATCTTCATTTTCAACTGGTATCTCGAAGTGAGGGGTCAATTCTCAAGATTAGACGTTAAAGAAAATAAATCTAAAAAATTAAAAAACCCCAACGCAATTAATTTGTTTCACCGGTTTGTTCTCAACTCCCTGACCAAGGACGAGAGGGCGAGATTTAACGAATCGTCGTTTCCCCCAACCAGTAGACATAATCTAAGTTAAAGATAAGGCGATCGAGAAGATTAATTTCATTTCCAAGATGACTTGTTTTTTTTGAAAGAATTTACCAAGGGTTTTTTAAGGCTAGAGAGGTATTTCTGAAAATCTCGGACGCTCGTCCGCGACGTGGACTGCGTCTGGTCCGGGTCGATGGTCCTCACCCGCGGATGCGTGCTTTATCGGAAACCACTGAGTGAGATATATGGAGAGATTATACGAGATGGCGTTTCGGAGTCGAACAGGCCGCTATTCTCCGCTCCGTCAATTATGCTAATTTCGATTGCCGCGAGATTAATGGAAGAAGGCGGCGTCCCCTTCGTATAACTCGGCTCTGGGAGCCCCGACGTCGGAGACCTGACGTTCCTTCCGCATTCGGTCGACCGTGCATAATGTACCGGACTTGTAATTATTGCGGGTTACACGCTGACCTTTCCTATCCCAGCCGCGGAACAGCTTCTCGTCGGTGGCTTCGCGAACGCGAGCTGCTCGATACCATCAACTTTCACGCTGAGAATGCAGAACGACTCAAATTTTCTCTCGAGCCCTTAGAAATTTCGTTTAAAAACTTTTCCACGACGAACAGTGAAGATTTCCAATCGTGCACACCGCGTTGTTTAAATGAAATTATGCACACCCTGTCTGCGAAGTGGAAGTCACGAGGGTGGGGAATCACAGGGACAGGAAAGAGACTGTCTGGCGACAAACGTATCAATAATACATGACGAGTACCTGCTCCACCTTTTGGCCTATCGCGACCTTCTCCCGTATCTCGCCGCGCTTATGTGCATGTTTGACGCGTGTAACCTCTTTTTCGTCGTTTCCTATTGTCGGGGATTCCCGTCGTTGTCCCTCATTGTCCGCGACCGAGAGCTCTCGATTCATTCCTCGATCTCGCGATAAGTTTCGTTCAAAATTCCCTCGCTATCTTTCCATTATCGTGGATCATTTCTAAAAAAAAAAAAATAGTAAAAGAAACGCGACAAAACTCCCGGGGCGGAGTTTTATTTTTACTTCGGTCGCTATTCGAAGCATCGGTGTGACTTTGCTGCTATTTTCTGAAGTTACGGTTGCGATCTTTGGGCTATTTCGGCGGGTGAATTTGAATATCTATTCGATGCAGGGGAATTAATTTGCAGGCTCGATAATTTTTCTCGAAGCCCGAAATTTTGCGTCGCGGTGGACTCGAGGGCGAAAGTTTGACGAATAGAAACGAAAGGTCCGAAGAAAAGGGCGCGAACGCAGGAACCCTTCACCGTGGAAATATTAAACGGACCTCGCGTTGTGTGCACGGTCCTCGGGTTCGTAGGAAAGTATGAAAATCCATACAGTCGCTCGGAGAAAATATCCGTCATTTAAAATGGATGGATTTAGGTGGATATAAAAGTGAGGGGTGGAAGAAACCGGTGGCAGCGCGAGGGTGGCCCCCGGCTCGGTCACGGGAGGAGGTTGGGCGAGGTTGGAGGCGACTGCTGAAAGTCGGTGGAGGTGGAGGTCG